ATCAGCAACGCCGGCCAGCCCTGGAAACTAACCACTCTACGAGAGTATATGGCCAAGTACACAACTCTACAAGAGCAACTCCGCCAGCGGACTGGCCAAGGCCCTCCGAACAAACCTGACGCCGTTGGAGTGCAGCCAAAGCAACTCTTTAGCACAGCGGATGCACTGGCAGCTCACCCTGATACCCAAGGACGACCACAACGTTCCCGTCGTGGTTGCATATTCTGCGATGGCCAACATATGGACAACGATTGCTCACGCTACACATCTTCTGCTGCCAGGAAACAATGATTAATGGAGCTACGTCGTTGCTTTATTTGCTTGGGTTCCGGTCACCGCAGCCAGGAATGTTACCGACGGCAAACACAGACCTGCCGGATGTGCAAGCGCCCAAGTCACCATCACCATACCATCTGCTCGCAGAGTCGCCAGCCATCTGGTGTAGGTTCGCATTCCACCCGACGAGCTGACGGTTCATCTTCCACGGCAGCGGTGGCAGCTTCTGACACTACAACCGCTACGTGCACACCCACTCAGGTTCCAGGTCAGGCAGTTGCTTCGGACCAGACAGTTGCTTCGGACCAGTCATCGTGTCTCCTGCAAGCAACAGGATCAACTGTCACACTCCAAACCGCCACAACGAATGTGCAAGGCAACAATGGTACAATCACCACCGCTCGCGTTCTTCTTGATTCAGGCAGCCATCGCACGTACTTCACGGAGGCTTTGGCAAGGCAGCTCTCCCTGCGCCATACTCGCCATGAATGGCTGTCCGTGTCAACCTTTGGTGCCACCAAACACCACACAGCACAGGTACCGATCTCCGACCTGTTCATTCATCTCAAGGATGGTACAACGAAGGCCATCGAAGGCAGCGTCTTACCGCACATCACAAACCCGGTTCTCCGTCCTGCGGTTGCACACCCCGACATCACGACCTTGCAGCAACTGCAACACGACAACCAGTTAGCTGATGCGATTAACGCCGAAGATGAACGGCTAAAGATCGACATACTCATTGGGTCTGATTATCTGTGGGACTTCGTGCAGGGCCATGTGCAACCTCTACCATCAGGCCTCAACCTTCTGCCAACCTCCCTCGGCTACGTGGTCACCGGCAAGACGGACACCTCTCCCACCACTGCCCTACCGGCAACCACTCTGATCGCAGCCGCAGCCGACGTTTCACACGAGGAGGTTCTGCCTCTTAAGCAGTCCATTCCGGATTTGTGGAGCCTCGAAACGCTTGGGATAGAGCACCCGTCTCCCGTGAAAGACGATGACGTAGCCTTGCAACATTTCCACTCAACAGTGGAGTGCACCGATAATCGCTACATCGTTCGCTGGCCATGGAACGGCCAGCAGCAGTTTCTCCCGGACAACTACGGATTGACGTTGGGCCGGTTCCGGACTCTATCGCGGCGGCTAAGCACCGACTCGTCACTACTTGAGCAGTATGACAAGGTGATCCAGCAGCAAGCCGACATGGGCATCATTGAGCAGATGACACCGGATTCTGTCACTGGTCCGCAACTCCATTATCTACCCCACCAGCCAGTTCTAACTCCAACGAAGACGACGACCAAGTTGCGTGTCGTTTATGATGCCTCAGCCAAGGCACGGCGTCACAAGAGCTTGAACAACTGTCTGCTACGTGGACCCGTGTTGCTCCCCAACCTTGCCGGAGTTCTTATGCGACTCCGCATCACACCCATTCTGCTGGTAGCCGATATCGAGAAGGCATTCTTGCAACTTGACATCTGGCCGCCAGACCGGGACGTGACACGCTTCCTATGGTATCGCGATCCAACTAATCCCACAGCAACTCCGGACAACATCGCGGTCTATCGGTTTCGAAGAGTACCGTTCGGCATCGTGAGCAGTCCATTTCTGCTAGCGGCAACAATCCAACACCATCTAGCAAATGATGAAGATGCGGATGTCGGTCGCTTGGTGTCCCGCAATATCTACGTGGATAACGTATTCATCGGTGTCGACACCCCGGAAGAAGGGTACGATATGTGCAACCGAACTACATCCGTATTCTCTCGCTCGTCCATGCGGCTACGTGAGTGGGCATCTAACAACAGCCACGCTACGACAGCTATGGATGCCAAGGAAAGGGCACAGGGCGACAGTGTCAACGTTCTTGGAATCACGTGGCACACCAAGGATGACAGTCTACAGCTCGCTTGTCCTCGAACCCAACCCAGCACCGACCCGGTTTGGACTAAGCGCGCTGTCCTGAAGTATGCTGCATCATTGTACGATCCATTGGGACTGGTTGCTCCGGTCACATTTCGTATCAAGGTCTTCTTACGCTCTCTGTGGCAAGCTGGTATGGACTGGGACACTGTCTTGACTGGACACCTACTGGACACCTGGCTGACCCTCCATGCAGCCTCGAGCGAGGTCAGCTCGTTATCGTTCCCCAGGCAAATCAACCCAATTGCTAATGGAACCGATGCTACCTACCAGCTACACGTCTTCACCGATGCGTCACAACTGGGCTTTGCAACTGTGGTCTACCTCCGCACAACCATAGCCATGATGACAACCTGTGAGCTCCTCTTCGGCAAGACACGTCTTGCACCGCTGAAGTCCAAGGACGGCAAGCCTAACGGTCTCACCCTGCCACGGCTGGAACTACTTGGCGTGACGATTGGTTCACGGGCAGCCCGATTCTGCAAAGATGAACTCGATCTCCCACTTACCAGCATCACCCTATGGACGGACGCGCGTTGTGTTCTGCATTGGATCAAATCATCCAAGCCACTGTCCGTATTCGTGGCCAACCGTGTGTCAGAGATTCGTACTTGCGGCGAGTTCTTGTCCTTCCGCCATGTTCCTGGAGAGTGCAACCCTGCTGATGTCGCTAGCCGAGGCGGTTTGGTGGCCGATCTTCAGGAGTCATGGTGGCACGGTCCGGACTGGTTACGTACCACATCAGATCACTGGCCAGACGAGGACCTCACACTCTCAGCTGACGAATCCGACCTAGCCAGCAAGGAGGAGCAAGCACCAACGCTTCATACCGCAAGCCTGGTGACTGGTGGCAGCGATCGTGCTACTGACCAACCTAGTCCACACACCATTCCATCTGGTCTCGGCAGCGTGCTTACGAGAGCAAGCAGTTTGAGGAAGGTCCTGAGAATCACTGCTCTGTGCATGAAGTTCCTGAAGAAACTGCGTCCCAACTCACCACGTCTCTCTCAGATCAGCAACAGCTACGACATCGTGTCACAAGACATACAGGCTGCGCGAGATTGGTGGACTCGAATGGTACAACGCGAGGCCTTCCCTGACATCTTCAAAGCTATCAAGACCAATGCCAAGCACAGTTCAGTTGCTAACCTTGGTGTTGTGATCGACGACAACAGCATACTGCGATGCGCCGGAAGACTGAGCAACGCTGAACTACCAACTGACCAGAAACTACCGAAGCTGCTACCAACGTATCACGCGTTCACGAAGCATGTCATCAGCGAAGTCCATGGACGGCTTCTGCATGCAGGTGTTCGACACACCCTGGCCCAGACAAGGCAAGAGTTCTGGATCATACGTGGCCGTGCTATCGTTCGCCGTATCCTGGATCAGTGCTCGGTTTGCCGAAGACACGAAGGGCGTCCGTTCAAGTTGCCGCCCATGCCCCCATGGCCCAAGGAACGGATTACCAGAGCACTTCCATTCACGTACGTTGGTCTTGACTACCTCGGACCGCTATTGATCCGCACCGGCACGGAGAAAGGCAAGGTATGGATCAACCTAGTAACCTGCCTAACCACACGAGCTGTACACCTGGACATAGTCTCTGGCCTATCTGCAGCAGCCTTCTTGAACAGCATGAGACGGTTCGCAGCGAGACGAGGCAAGCCAAAGTCTATTGTGTGTGACAACGCACCCCAGTTCAAGTTGGTACGCTCTGTCCTGGACGATCATCTGAAGCTGATTCTTGCCAACCCAGACCTGCTATCGTATCTCTCAACGGAGAATATCGAATGGAGCTTCACAACAGAGTTTGCGCCATGGAAGGGCGGTGTGTACGAGAGGCTGGTGAGCATTGTCAAGAGAGCCTTGAGGAAGAGTCTTGGAAGGTGCCTCCTGACTCTAGACCAGCTCGCAACCCTGACAGCCGAAGTGGAAGGCATGATCAATACGAGGCCGCTCACATATGTTGACGACGACGATGTGTCCTCATTCTCACCCCTGACACCGTCACATTTCCTCTGTGGAGGAAGAACGGCAACCGGTTTTCAGACGGACAGCGACGAGGAGGACGGTCCGGAGACACCAGCAGCCAAGGTCACGAGGATGTGGAAACGGCAACAGATACAACTGGATGTAGCATGGAAGGTGTGGGAAGATGAATACCTCCCTGCTCTGCGCGAAGCATCAATGAGTCAACACCGACAGTCACGGAGTAGCATCTCTCGGACACCAACAGTCGGAGAAGTGGTCGTAATCCAAGAGACCGGCCAGCCACGTGGAAGTTGGAGACTCGGCAGAGTGGTAGAAATCTTACCTGGAGTCGATGGCCAAGTCAGAGCTGTCAAGCTGAAGACGGCTAAATCGAAGGCAGTGTTGTCGAGACCGATCAGCAAGCTCTATCCGCTCGAGCTGCACGTTGTGGATGACGTCGGAGCAGTGGAGGCTGGTGATATGGAACACCGCCCGGCACCGGCGACGGCTATGGAACAGGCAATGGCGGACGAAGCTGCTCCAACCATGTTCCAGCCTAGGCGGGCAAATCGCAAAGCAGCAGAGAAGGCCCGTGAGCGTATCGCAGAGTGGGTAAGATAACTTTCGTTGTCGGGAATGTCATGAATGTCACCACATCATGAAGACTACTTCATATCAATTTGAAGTTGCAAGTATAGACTCCCGCATTGCATGATCATATCGTAATTAATCAACAGACAGTCCAACTTGCCATAACATTTTATTATCATATTCCAAATACATTTGAGTTGGGACTTACGATGTCCAACGACGACTCTGATTACCCAGCTGATGGCACGCGTACATTGTGAATCCGAGTATTCCCAATGTCGCCTCCATCTCATCATATAATTATACTCTCCTGCATGTTTGTCTCTGCTGCTCATCACAAACTACTTAAATCTGAACTTGTTTTCTTCTTCTCTGAATGCACTCGTTGCTAGCTGCCGAGATTTGTTTTCTTGTAGTTGCATCATTGCATTCCGCATGATCCGCGCTTGCATGATGCACGCACGCACACACACACATAGGGTTGTGGTTGGCAAGTTTTTGATTATGGTTGAAGGTGAAGTTTTTAGAAAGGAAACTGTGGTATGAGAATGAGTCTGATGAGTCTGTCCTGCCCTACCGTTCTCGACATACACACACGCGCACACACACACACACATACACACACGTGCGCACACACACAAACACACACACAGAAATGCACAGCATCAGTTGGATTCACAGTACACGGAGACAGACACAGCCTACACACATAATGAACATACCTTGAGCACATCTTGCAGTATCCGCCGCTGCAACTCACTGTCGTGGATACGCATAGAGCCACCTCCAACCTCTACGCCGTTCAGTACCAGATCAAAGTGCTGAGCCCGCACCTGCAGCACATGTACATTGACATAGGGAACACAAACAGAAGCAGTTGCAGGGAACTTCACCGTTTTCATTATTTTTTTTTTAAACTTTTTCTTCGGGGAGATCGGCTGATTTCACTCACATACCCACACATGGCTTGCACACTCTACTCAGATAGAGTTTGGGTTCAAGATAATAGACACCCTTAGCAAACAACGTTATGTTGTAACGGTATTACCGTAAGGGGGGAAATACCGTGATTTGGGCTCGACCTTTAGCAAGATGCGCGCTATTTTTAGTACGCTGTTGCCACGAGAATAGCTTTTACTTCGCGCGGTACAACCATTTATGTCACCATATACGCGATACCAAGAGTCCATAACCCACAGAGTGTGCAACGCCACATAAATGTCTGTCACGACTCGTTTTCAACATTACGTCATTTTCATGTAGCTGCGCGTGCACTGTCGTGCAGGCCGCGACGTTCGCTACATGAAAATGACGTAATGTTGAAAACGAGTAGTGACAAGACCCTATCGCGCATTGCACACTCTGGGGGTTATGGACTCTTGGCGATACAAGGTGAAATGCGTACGGACTATGCAATATTTGGCCAAAAACGTACCGTTGGTCACAACGATAAATCAGCCCCCATAACGTTTTTACGCTGCAGCTTCAACGCTATTTGAGTGATCAAGGTACGAGTAATTTCAAATTTGGACTTCACGGAGAATTTCAAATGCGGCCTCTAATTATTCAAAACACATACTGGTAAGCAAATGTACAATATCCGGCTGGGAAAGGACCCTCCAAACTCAATAAGTCCCCGAAGGAATACGCCAAACTCAATGACTCCCTGAAGGAATACCTCGAACCGGCAATGGGTCCTTGAAGGAAGCCCCCAAACTCAATGGGTCCCTGAAGGAAGCCCCCAAACTCAATGGGTCCCTGAAGGAATCCTCCAAACTCAACGGGTCCCTGAAGGAATCCTCCAAACTCAACGGGTCCCTGAAGGAAGCCCCCAGACTCAATGGGTCCCTGAAGGAAGCCCCCAAACTCATGAATGGGTCCTGAAGGAAGCCCCGCACTCAATAGGTCCCTGGATAAACCACGTGTTAGTAGCGGGATATCACGGAGCATGTTAGCGCTGGCAATCAGTCTACCGGTAACCCAGCGGCCAACGTTCTAGTTATTTGCAACTCCAACACTGTCACTCACACGAATACTGTACTGTAGCTGTGGCGTTGATAGTCCCGTCAAGACAGTCCATTACACACCTGGAAAACTGTGCTCGCCCTCCAAAGTACAGTGCTGCTCAATGAAATTCGGTCGCGTGAGTCAAGTTTGCGCCTTGAACCATTTCGCAGCCCAGTGTTCGCAGGTCTAGGGCTGCGCAACGCCCGGCGCGTACTTGAGTGACATGACTGGATTTCATTGAGCAGTACTGTAGCATGTACACAAACTCCGTGAGGTCATTGCCATGCTCCACCGAACATATTCAGTTCTGCAAGGATAGACTCGGAGGGAGAGCCAAGGATTAATTTATAGTAAAGGAACAAGTTACGCTATAATGCCCACTAATACCACCAGTCACTAAACAATCAGCTCATGCAATGTTAATGCAATGCAATGAAATGTGCAATGTTATCGCATGAGCTGATTGTTTAGTAATTGGTGGTATTAGTGGGCATTATAGCGTATCTTGTAGTTCCTTGGTCCTTTTCTTTACTATAAACACCCAGTTCTAATGCACATTGAGTGTATACGACACAATCGTAAACTTGCTGACCTTAAGTGGATCACTCTCCAGCAGAGACACGTCATCGGGGTGCGGTGCTGTGAACGGATGATGAGAGCTTTCAAGTCCTACAAACACACATACACACAAGCACACACATATACACACACATATACACACACACACACACACACACACACACGCAAGCACACACAAGCACACACACATACACACACACACACACATCACAATACGGGGAGAGATGTTGAGAACAGTGAATACAGAAAGAGTTCAAGTTGACAAAGGGACAAGAATGGCAAAATAGAGATACAAACGGATAGTGTGGAATATGCCGTCATCAGTGGCTCCTCCAACAATCATCACAACGGATAGAGAATCAGCAATGGTGACATATCAGCAATGGTGACAGCAAGATGTTGAACTTGAAGTACAATGGGAGTACGTGGGTAGTGTAGTAAGAACTGAACACATCACTGGACACATCACTGAACACATCACTGAACACTGGTGCATTCACGTACATACAGTGTACAATGTAAAATGTACATGTACACTGTACAGCATTGGGTATTATGCTCCTCGGCATTCGTCTTGTTGAGCACTCTCGGTAGGATGCTCTAGTACTGCTGCATTACACATTGCCTGCTACTTTTCGTAGTTAGAGCACTCTGGCGCTAGAGCGACGAGCTATCTTAAATGCCTGTGGTGCCTCCTTTGCACCATGGCTGGTAGCTCGGCCTATTTAGCTCGCTCATGAGGCCTTTACGGGCGAAAAAGCTTGCTGTCAGCGGCGTCTACAGCATTGTGTAATACAACAGTGTATACATACGGTTGTTGTTTTCAGCCTGGTTGAACAAGGGGAACGTGTGTACATACCGTTTTCAGCCTGATTGAACAAGGGGAATGTGTGTACCCACAGGAATTTGAAATCCTTCTCGTCATAGAGGTGAACACCTATTAACGGTGAGGGAGATACCCAGATGGCCACACGACAGACACATGTACATACATGCACACATATACAGATGCACAGATGCACACACGCACGCACACATGCGCACACACACACACACATGCGCACGCACATGCACACACACACATGCGCACACACACACACACACGCGCACGCACACGCACACACACACACATGCGCGCGCGCGCACACACACACACACACACACACACACACACAACAGTTATACACACATCCAGCAAGCATATCAATCAAGCAAACAAGCAAGGCCTCGCTCAATCCTACTATCGAGTAGGTACTACAGGCACTTGCTTTCTGGATGATACTGTACCTACCAGGGAGTAGTAAAATATCTACTCCCTGACACCTACGTAGACTGTATGCAATAGCTTGTCATGTCCATGCACTCCATGTCCATGCCCGTTCCCATGACGATGAGCATGACCAAGAGTAAAAAAAGCTCCCAAGAAAGTCCAACTCTGCATGCAGGGTCTCCGCTGGAAAAACACACTCACATCACGTGTTCCAATTACAAGTGCGATTTTTGTACTACGTACAATGGAGGCCAGCAGCACGCGCACAGTCAGAATATCTGCCAGGATCATGCTGAGGACTCGCATAAGCTGAGTTGTTTTTAGTCAGGAAGTGCTATTTTTAGTACATTTTTACTACTCCACTGCTCCCTAAAACCGGGCTTGCAATGTACAACGTGAACACTACACCATGTGATGTGGGTTTTCGCCGCCGGTGAACCTCATAGAAAAGGTATCCAGAGTGGCACACTCGCGGGAGCTTATGTCATGTACTGTTGTTGTGGCTATGGCTATGGCTCTGGCTATGGCTGTGGCTGTGGCTATGGCTATGGCTGTGGCTATGGCTATGGCTATGGCTCTGGCTATGGCTCTGGCTATGGCTCTGGCTCTGGCTATGGCTATGGCTATGGCTATGGCTATGACTGTGGCTATGGCTATGGCTATGGCGTGAATGATCAGGAAAAACTCATACTAGACCCAGCATCAACATGATTCCTCTGTAGCACTCTCCTCAGTCAGATGCAACACTTGGTAGACATACGGTATGAGACTGCACAAGCTCTGCTCGAACCAATGAGAAATTATCGGAAGCAATGGCACAGTTGATGGCACATACCGTGAGAACGTAGAATATTGGCCGCCTCCAAACGGATAGCGCCCAGTGTGGATGCCTGCACAAACGTATCACAGAGACAGAAACAGAGACAGAAACTGTTTCAGAGAATATCAGCTATAGGCTATGACGTGTCAATTTAAGATTAACGCTCAGAAACAGTCATCAAACTGATTCAACCCCACCCCCATTATTGTAGCAGTGCTTGTGGAATTGAATTCCCATCTACAGCATATTTTGGCAGAATAAAGATGAGGCACAGCAAAAAAACTGTTACCACTCATACCCCCCCCCCCCCCCCCCCCCATATGCACATGCATACATCACATGCACCCCCACACGCATGCACACACGCACACACACACACGTGCACACACACATACATGTGTGCGCACATCACCCCCCCCCCCCCCCCACACACACACACACACCTTGAACGTGCCCATTGCCGATGGCAATGATAGCGAAGGGACTATCTGCTAGCTTTGCAGTACGGAGCGTGGCGCTTGAGATCCCCGGGACGACGGCAGACCTTTCCACATGCGCAGCGGAAGCCAGAGTCAGGATCAGGGGGAGCACGGGCGGGAGGACAACGATGAGCATGCCTCCAGGCAGAGCGATCCTGGGCAGCATCAAACCAGCAGTCAAAAGGCATAGGGGGGCTGATGGAGCGGAGATCATCCACGATGACGTCACGTTATCGCTTGCATGGACCATGGCGAGGGCGCGTTGCAGGGAGCCCCCCAAACAAAACTCGCTTCGGCATACGGTCGTCGTTCATCCGGCCAACATGGCCAAGCTAACGCAGTCGATATTCCCGGATGATGTCCGCGACGTCACAGGCAATGCCGAGGGTTCTGGCCATGGTGATGGAGGTGACGCGGTTGTCCCACTGGTCCCGCCTGGAGATGCAAATGATGATACGAACACACCGGTGATGAAAGGCGTTGAGAGAGAGCGCAGGTCCGGTGCCTTCGGCGTCCACGTCTCTGCTCCGTACAGGAGGGTCGTCAGCACAAGGGCGATGTACACGCGGCGCCGACAGCGGAGAGATACCACACACACACACAGACACACACACACAGACACACAGACACACAGACACACACACACACACACACACACACACACACACCATACACACATGGCTACTTACAACAGTGTCTGCTGGTCCGGTGACAATCGCAAGCATATCGTTATCCTCGGAGCCCATCTCTTTGTCAACGCTGGCCATCATGTCAGGTGATACTTTGCCATGCAGTTGCTTGGGCCACTGTCTCTTCTCATCCAACCTCACAAGAATACATTGCTGCAGTAGACAGTAATAACATCAACAACCAGGACAGGAATCCATGGATATTTCTCAAATTACTGCTTCTGCTACTACCACTACTCTTAGTCTTCTCCGGATCATCTTGGATTTTCGATAAAAGTTTTTTGAGTAGGACAAGAATACATTGCTGTGATAGACAGTAACAACACCAACACGCAGGCATCAGTCGTGAGGACAAAGTCACACCTCTAAACACAGTCTGTACTCATTGAAACACACACAACTTGCACCACTTACTACTGTCGTGGACATGGAAATCCAGTCGCACGTCTAGCGGCCCCAGGGCGCTGGCCATACAGCCGTGAGTAAGCAGTACACACTGCATTACATGTAGGTCTACAAGTTCATGTATATGCGCTGCAGTGCACTGGTCACTGCAGTGCACTGGTCACTGCAGCGCACTGGTCACTGCAGTGCACTGGTCACTGCAGTGCACTGGTCACTGCAGCGCACTGGTCACTGCACTGCACTGGTCACTGCAGTGCACTGGTCACTGCACTGCACTGGTCACTGCAACGCACTGGTCACTGCAGTGCACTGGTCACTGCACTGCACTGGTCACTGCAACGCACTGGTCACTGCAACGCACTGGTCACTGCAGTGCACTGGTCACTGCAACGCACTGGTCACACCGGATCAACATGTGCACAACGTTGTGTACACGCTGAGGGCGTCGGGCCCGGTCAATCGACTGGATTTCCATGTCCACGACAGTACTTACCAAGCCGTCCTTTACAGCAATGCCTTCCAACGTTTTCCTCTCCTTGCTCGTGAAGAGACCGGTGGAAGAGGGTATGCGTATGGCCCGAGCGCAACCACCCGGAGCATTCAAACCTTTCTCGAACGGGATGAAGCCTGAGCCGGAAAGAGCCGACGTGATGTCTCGGATTTTCATGTCAAATCGAACGTCGGGCTTATCACACCCGTACTCTCTCATGGCTTGCTCGTAGGTCATTTGCGGGAACGGCGTAGTGACAGCGGGAAGATGAGGCCACGTGTCTCCTGTTGGCCACGTTTGAGAGACGAGTTGCTCTATGAGGGCAACAATGTCTGCTTGAGATGAGAAGGACAGCTCCATATCGAGCTATGCATAGATGAACAGACAGGCAGACAACTGAACTGCACAACGGGAGCAAGACTTGAGCTCTCGCCGACTAAGACAAGCAAGCTGAGCTCTCACCGACTAAGACAAGCAAGCTGAGCTCTTACCAACTAAGACAAGCAAACTGAGCTCTCACCGACTAAGGCAAGCAAGCTGAGCTCTCACCGACTAAGACAAGCAAGCTGAGCTCTCACCGACTAAGACAACAAAGCTGAGCTCTCACCGACTAAGACAAGCAAGCTGAGCTCTCACCGACTAAGACAAGCAAGCTGAGCTCTCACCGACTAAGACAAGCAAGCTGAGCTCTCACCGACTAAGACAACAAAGCTGAGCTCTCACCGACTAAGACAAGCAAGCTGAGCTCTCACCGACTAAGACAAGCAAGCTGAGCTCTCACCGACTAAGACAAGCAAGCTGAGCTCTCACCGACTAAGACAAGCAAGCTGAGCTCTCACCAACTAAGACAAGCAAGCTGAGCTCTCACCGACTAAGACAACAAAGCTGAGCTCTCACCGACTAAGACAAGCAAGCTGAGCTCTCACCGACTAAGACAAGCAAGCTGAGCTCTCACCGACTAAGACAAGCAAGCTGAGCTCTCACCGACTAAGACAAGCAAGCTGAGCTCTCACCGACTAAGACAAGCAAGCTGAGCTCTCACCGACTAAGACAAGCAAGCTGAGCTCTCACCGAACTAAGACAAGCAGACGGGCACATGCACTACACCATCCATACACTTGCAAGTCAGTTGCATGTACATGAATGCTACCAGAACTACTTACTCCTATATTGAACTACAAGGACAGTAGACAAACGGACATTTCAGGCGGGCCAGGAGCAACAAGTGTGTTGTTTCAAGTTGCTTGCTTACCGCAACTACCTACCTACTTAAGTAGCAACCTACCCGAGTAGCAACGTACCTGAGTAAACTCTGGCTGCCGCTGAGATGTGCCACTCTCGTCTCGATAACAACGAGCAAACTGAAAGTACCTGCATGCACAGCAGCAGCAGCAGCAACAGCAGCTGGTTAGACCGTATGTTAATGTACTGATTAGACGGATCAATGACATTGTGTTCTGCTTGCTCTTTCCTTTGAGTTGGTGTTTTTTCACTATTGATTTCACAATCTATTTCTTTTCGCCCTTAGAAGAGGCTTTAGTAGCAACAGCAACAGCAGTGTCAGCAACAGCAGCAGCCAACAAACAGCAGCAGCACCAGCACCAGCACCAGCACCAGCAGCAACAGCAGCGGCAGCAGCACCAGCAGCAGCAACAACACCAGCAGCAGCAGCAGCAACAGCAGCAGCAACAGCAACAGCAGAACCAACACCAGCAGCAGCAGCAACAGCAACTGCAGCAGCAGCACCAGCAGCACCAGCAGCAGCAACAACACATAACACCATGCAAGTGCAGTGTGTCAGCACAATAAACCTGACAATACAGCATTAGTACAGTGCTAGGTAAGAGTGGTGAGGCTTGCTGCAGCTTCATACATAGGAAGTGGTGTTGAAAGACTTCCTCTTTCCCACTCACTCTGCAATCATCAAACTCCTTTTCATCGTATGGTTACGATTCGGCAATATTGCCCTCAACCATACGATGAAAAGGATTGTGATGATTGCAGAGTGATTGGGAGAGAGTGGGTCTGATCTATACTACTAATTATAGTACAGTGTTCTGTGAGGGACATAGCGGAGTTGTCAGAAGAACAGCAAATGCAAGCAACAAACATCACATGCAGTTCCTTTGAAGTGCTATACAATACACAGAAAAACTACAATACAAAGTGGGATACAACAGACGTTACCTTGCATTTACATAGAAAGTACTTATTGAAGACCCTGCGCACTCATTTCTAGTCACATGACTATGACTATGGCTGTACACAGTGCCACGGCTATTGAGTACTAATTTTACGGCTCTTGGGAGGTATATTACACAACTAACTTATACTGAAGTGTCTCACTGTTCATGTAGTTAGTACTCGCTCTTTTTAAGCTGCTCAGCTCCAGTTTTTATGTTAGTGCATTTCCACTCACCTGTCTGTACCGGCGCACATCAGCATTTGCTTGAACTGCATGCACGTATGGACACAATGACACATGGACACACACACACACACACACACACACACACACACACACACACACACATGCGCGTGAAAACAAACAAAATCGCACAAAAGTCAACAAAGTGACAGGAGAAGTGGCATTCCGTGGAGACAACACCACACTCAATCTAAAGTTGTCACATACTTGTATAAACAAAAGATGAGCAAACCAGCAACCCAGTCACAGGTCCTTGCTGCATAGTGTTATAGACTACATTCACTTCAGTGGAGCACCAATGTGGATATTCACATTGACAGACAGGACACACCAGACAGCGGTAGTAACAGAAATAACAACGGCAACAGCAGCAGCAGTAGCAACACCAGCAGCACCAGTAACAGCAGCAGCAGCAGCAGCACCAGTAGTGCAAACATGAAAGATCCATTCCTATATCAAGTACCTGCTGTGGACTCTGAACTAATGAGTAGAAGCTGTTCTCAGCTCTGGTGGGCACGATGAACTCACGTGCACCCTACACAGCACAACAACGCACACGAACGCACGCAGGCACACACACACACACACACACACACACACACACACACGCATGCACACACACACGCGCACACACAATACAACATTGCTACATCATGTAGTGTATACTATACTTCCTGCAACATCTCCAGACAATCGAATACACAGATACACAGTCACACCATCAGTAGTATGCAGTAGTGCAAGAGAAAGCAACACCCTCCCCCTCCCCACTCTCTCTGTGTGTGTCTCTCTCTCTGTCTCTCTGTCTCTCTCTCTCTGTCTCTCTCTCTCTCTGTCTCTGTCTCTGTCTCTCTGTCTCTCTCTGTCTCTCTCTATCTATCTCTGTCTATCTCTCTCTCTCTCTCTGTCTCTCTCTCTGTCTCTCTCTCTCTCTCTCTCTCTGTCTCTCTCTGTCTCTCTCTATCTATCTCTGTCTATCTCTCTCTCTCTCTCTGTCTCTCTCTCTGTCTCTCTCTCTCTCTCTCTCTCTCTCTCTCTCTCTCTCTCTCTCTCTTCTCTCTCTCTCTGTCTCTCTCTCTGTCTCTCTCTCTCTCTCTCTCTCTCTCTCTCTCTCTCTCTCTCTCTCTCTCTCTCTCTCTCTCTCTCTCTCTCTCTCTCTCTCTCTCTCTCTCTCTCTCTCTCTCTCTCTCTCTCTCTCTCTCTCTCTCCCTCTCTTGTCTTCGGTTCACAACGGCTAAGCAGGAACATCGCCACAATTCCAATCTCCTACATGCACTGCCGCAGGATTGTGCTGATTTCTAGTAGTCTGCTGTAGTCAGTGGTTCCCATGGTGACTGGATCTTACCCCAGGAGAGCGGCGGAACAATGTCGGCGTTTCTACTTCCAAGAAACCTGTAACGGGCCAGAACGACACATATGTACACATACACAAACACACGCACACACACACACACACACACACACACACACACACATACACACACCCAGACTCGGACTCAGACCTGCCCATCGCGTAAGCGATGATAGCGAACAACTATGTTAGACATAGAAACTTGTGCTGGGATTACACCATTCAACAGCTTGCAAGGCTGATGAATTGACCGCCACTAATTTTAGCCTGGTATCCACCACACAGCTGATTGAAGTGGCTTTTTCTGGCGGATGAATCCCTATTTTTCACACACACGCACACACACACACACGTACACAGCCATGGGTTTTCCAGTCTATCGGATCAGAAGTTGACAAAATCCTCCTAAAACCACTTGCAAAATGAGGTACGGCATAGACTACACACTAACTGCATACTGCGAAGTAAGATCAAGCAGAGTCAAATGACAACCAGCACCAGTCAGTGAGCCAGCAACCGCACAACCTACCAAACTCCTGGGTTAGAAACTGGCGCATGCGATTGGTGATGGTGGATCTGAACATGGTCAGCTGCTGGAACGGAGTGCTGCGTAGGTCTAAATAGCGGTGCTGCATACGGTTCCATTCTGACTAAACACCTCAAAGAACAGTAAAGAACAGGGAAACAGAGGGCAACAGAGAACAGAGGACACCACAGGACAGGACAGAGGGCAGCAGAGACCAGCAGAGACCAGGAGAGACCAGCAGAGGGCAGCAGAGACCAGCAAAGACCAGAGCATCAGAGAAAACAAAGAGGACAGCAAAGACCAGAGGACAGCAGTGAATACAGAGTAGCACAGCACAGAGGACATCACAGAGGAGTCAAGAAAAGGATTGATGAACACGTAGCAGTTTTAGTACAAGGACCTAATCGTCACCATGAAGAAAGAGAAAACAAACAAACAAACCGCCCACAGCAGACCACAGGCACATCACTTTTAAAACCGTTACCATAGTACTCTATCTGTATGGCACTGGTAGTGCTGGCACACTTCGAATTCCGTTGGCATAGCAACACTACCACAAGTGCCATCTTTCTTAATAGAGAGGTTCTGCAAAACGAAAATGTGTACGAACTTTCGCTCTACGTCACGAAGTGAGAAACTTCGCACGAACTTTCGCAACTTTGGACGCGAAACTTGGAGGGAACGCGAAATGAACTTTCGTAGGAAGTTTCGTGAGATTGGGGCATGTCGTACGTGCACTTGGCGCGTGCAAACTACGAAAATGTGCAGAACACAAAGTTCGTGCGAAAATTCGTACACATTTTCGCAAGGCCTGTCGCGAAACTTCGTTCGAATTTTCGTTGTGCAGAACCTCTATTATTTTGATGACTGCTTGGTGCCCGAGGCCACTCACCGAGTCTCCTTTGCCGTTCAAATTGAACGGAACTAGCTCAGAGTTGTTGAGCACGCGAACCGACAAAGGCACAACCTCAATACTCCCGGTTGCCATTTTCTTCACACAAAAAAAAGCACAGCAAACGAACAAGAACAGCAAGCAAAGAAGCAAGAGTTACAAGCAGCACACATACATCTACCAAGTGGTTTCTTCCGGCTGCACCCCCCCCCCCCCCCCCCCCCCCACATACACACCCACCACACACACATCACCCACCACGCACCCCCCCCCCCCACCACATACACACCCACCACATACACACCACCCACCACGCACACCCACCCCCCACCCCCCCCCCCCCCACACACACACCCTCCATATCTACAACAAACCTCTATTCAATATATTCACTAGTCGATCCCCCTCCCCCTCTTCAAATCAGGCTAAGTACAGTTGAATGTCACATATCCGGTGGTCAGTAGTCCGGCACGTCGGCTACCTAACAGTGCACTGACAACTCGTGGACTGTACGTCTTACACTACATCACAGTCCTAATGCAAGTGTGCTATGTGCAGTGTGAGCACCATGAACGTTGCCATGATGCCATGCTACATACAAGTCAGTCTAGAACAGAACAACAAGGACAATCAAGGCTTGTTTGCTGCTACTTCAAGTGTCATGCTCTCGCAATCATCAGGCAACAAAGTCAGTGTATAACGATGAGCCTGGCGACCGCGTTTCTGGATAATACCATCAAACTACAGGTAAAATCATGCTCTACAGTTCATTTGACATAGGATTACAGGATTACAGGATTACAGGATTACAGGATTGCTATGTAGCTTCAGTTATCCAGCATATCCATTTTTACCCAACAGGGTCCGGTGCCGAGGGTGCTGGATAACCGACTTGCAACTGTAGAATGCGTTGAAGAATCCAATGCAGCATCATGTAATCCAAAGGAGGCACCTGCAATATTTAATACATAGCCCTATCGGCTGAAAAAAGATTTTTGGTTGGGTTCGACACACAACCTGCAACAGCCAGTTAGGAATAATCAGCATGAACACTATGAACACTGTGTGTACAAGCAGTACACTGTGCACTAAATACAAGTTGTGTGTGTGTGTGTGTGTGTGTGTGTGTGTGTGTGTGTGTGTGTGTGTGTGTGTGTGTGTGTGTGTGTGTGTGTGTGTGTGTGTGTGTGTGTGTGTGTGTGTGTGTGTGTGTGTGTGTGTGTGTGTGTGTGTGTGTGTGTGTGTGTGTGTGTGTGTGTGTGTGTGTGTGTGTGTGTGTGTGTGTGTGTGTGTGTGTGTGTGTGTGTGTGTGTGTGTGTGGAAGTGCAAGTGTGGAAGGACTGAACAATGGATAGGAGACGGGGAGGAACACCAGCTTTCTCCAGTACGCGCCACAGGCAATCCCGACTGACAGAGTCATAAGCCTTGCGGAGGTCGATGAACAGGAGGAAAGCTTTCCCTCGATGTTCAAATGCCTTCTCCACCATCTGGCGGACCACAAATATCATATCCGTACAGGATCGCCCTCGTCGAAAACCACACTGAGTGTCTGGTAAGAAGGACTCAGCCATAGATTGCAGGCGAGTCTGCACAATGCGGGCAAGTACTTTACCGGCAACATCCAAGAGGGAAATGCCTCGCCAATTATCGCAGCGACTCAGGTCGCCTTTCTTGGGAATGGGTATAAGATTACAGTCGACCCATTCCTGCGGTACTGTGCCATCATTCCATTTGCTGTGAGGAATGGCCTCCGTCAAGGTTGCTCCATGGCTCCCACATTATTTAACATCTTCATGTGGGCAGTCTTCCAACGGTGGTATGCCCGCGTCGCAGATATCCCCGGAGCTGGTGTTCCGATTCATACTAATGCAAGGCAACGTCTGTTCTTCCGACGACACCGCACAGACACTAGACGTTCCATCCTTGACTGCCAATTTGCAGATGACTCTGCCCTGATGGCCACGCGTCGGGAGGCAATAGAGACTTGCCTAACGGCATTTGTTGAGGTGGCAGGTGCATTCGGTCTCAAAGTTAACCTAGAGAAAACCAAGCTCATGGTCACCGGTCATCATGTTACTGAAGAGGATGTGCGCCCGCTGATGTTGAATGGCCATGCGGTGGAGGTGGTCTCTGAGTTTCGCTACCTCGGAACTAATATCCACGCTGATGGCCGCTGCTCCCGGGATATCGAGTCCAGGATAGCTGCTGCATCACGTGCCTTTGGCGTTCTGAGTCGCCCAGTGTTTCGGGATAACAATCTAACGCTGGCCACCAAGCGAACAGTGTTTGAGGCGTGTGTGCTGAGCTTGCTGCTGTATGCGTCTGAGTGCTGGGTACCACTCCAAGCCGATATTGCCAAGCTGTCATCTTTTTACATGAGATGCCTCCGCACCATCATGGGTGTGTCACGCTCTGACGTCTGGGACTTCCACATCAGCAACACCACCATCCTGGAGCAGTGGAATGATGCCAGACCCCTGCCCATCAAGGACCGGATTGTGCAACGCCGTTTGGAATGGTTTGGCCACGTTATGCGCATGGATATGGAACGGACACCCCGGGTTGTTCTGTTCGGCTGCCGACCGGAGACCCGACCTGCATGCGGCCCACGAAAGCGCTGGCGAGACGCTCTGAGTCCGGATCTACAGCGATGTGACGTACAGGACTCTTGGCCAGAAGATACCCAGTCACGACCAGGGTGGAGGAACATCTACCGTGAGCTGGAACCAGCTTCGTCACCAGTGCGTAATGTGCAATGTCTTGTCTGCCGACGCGTATTTAGCAGGCCTTCGGACAAGCGCCGTCACAAGTGCTTGGATGAAAGGGCCAAGCCCATAGCAGAGCAGCGCGGTGCAGTGCAATGTCCCCAATGTCAACGGTGGCTACGCAGCCGTGGTGGGCTATCGCGGCATAAATGCACACCCCATGATCCTCAGCCCCGTGAAGACCATCCCCAAGCTATTGCAAGGGACTGTTGCGCAGCTCACTGCCCCACATGTGACCGCTGTTTCGCCAGACCGTCTGACAGATCACGACACAAATGCCACCGTAGTACGCATCGCCCGACTGCAGCAACACGATTGACATTTGAATGGTCCTGCCCCGACTGTGGCCGCCGTTTTCGCCGCGGGAGCGACCTCACCCGACACAGGTGCCAGCGGCCTCCCTCCTCCCCGGTTCTCTCTTAAGGAGAGCCACGTGGCCCTTGTGGCAGTGCTGAACAGGAACAGGAACAGGTGTGTGTGTGTGTGTGTGTGTGTGTGTGTGTGTGTGTGTGTGTGTGTGTGTGTGTGTGTGTGTGTGTGTGTGTGTGTGTGTGTGTGTGTGTGTGTGTGTGTGTGTGTGTGTGTGTGTGTGTGTGTGTGTGTGTGTGTGTGTGTGTGTGTGTGTGTGTGTGTGTGTGTGTGTGTGTGTGTGTGTGTGTGTGTGTGTGTGTGTGTGTGTGTGTGTGTGTGTGTGTGTGTGTGTGTGTGTGTGTGTGTGTGTGTGTGTGTGTGTGTGTGTGTGTGTGTGTGTGTGTGTGTGTGTGTGTGTGTGTGTGTGTGTGTGTGTGTGTGTGTGTGTGTGTGTGTGTGTGTGTGTGTGTGTGTGTGTGTGTGTGTGTGTGTGTGTGTGTGTGTGTGTGTGTGTGTGTGTGTGTGTGTGTGTGTGTGTGTGTGTGTGTGTGTGTGTGTGTGTGTGTGTGTGTGTGTGTGTGTGTGTGTGTGTGTGTGTGTGTGTGTGTGTGTGTGTGTGTGTGTGTGTGTGTGTGTGTGTGTGTGTGTGTGTGTGTGTGTGTGTGTGTGTGTGTGTGTGTGTGTGTGTGTGTGTGTGTGTGTGTGTGTGTGTGTGTGTGTGTGTGTGTGTGTGTGTGTGTGTGTGTGTGTGTGTGTGTGTGTGTGTGTGTGTGTGTGTGTGTGTGTGTGTGTGTGTGTGTGTGTGTGTGTGTGTGTGTGTGTGTGTGTGTGTGTGTGTGTGTGTGTGTGTGTGTGTGTGTGTGTGTGTGTGTGTGTGTGTGTGTGTGTGTGTGTGTGTGTGTGTGTGTGTGTGTGTGTGTGTGTGTGTGTGTGTGTGTGTGTGTGTGTGTGTGTGTGTGTGTGTGTGTGTGTGTGTGTGTGTGTGTGTGTGTGTGTGTGTGTGTGTGTGTGTGTGTGTGTGTGTGTGTGTGTGTGTGTGTGTGTGTGTGTGTGTGTGTGTGTGTGTGTGTGTGTGTGTGTGTGTGTGTGTGTGTGTGTGTGTGTGTGTGTGTGTGTGTGTGTGTGTGTGTGTGTGTGTGTGTGTGTGTGTGTGTGTGTGTGTGTGTGTGTGTGTGTGTGTGTGTGTGTGTGTGTGTGTGTGTGTGTGTGTGTGTGTGTGTGTGTGTGTGTGTGTGTGTGTGTGTGTGTGTGTGTGTGTGTGTGTGTGTGTGTGTGTGTGTGTGTGTGTGTGTGTGTGTGTGTGTGTGTGTGTGTGTGTGTGTGTGTGTGTGTGTGTGTGTGTGCGTGCGTGCGTGCGTGCGCGCGCGCGCGCGCGCGCGTGCGTGCGTGCGTGCGTGCGTGCGTGGGTGTGTGTGTGTGTGTGTGTGTGTGTGTGTGTGTGTGTGTGTGTGTGTGTGTGTGTGTTTGGATCGTTGCGCTGCGAGCGTGTGGAGAGCTGGTGGCTGCGTCTGGAAGGCGGTGAGTTCTCGCGTTGTATCTGCCCGCCTACAGTTCGCCCTCGTTGATGGGTCAGCTAAGAGTTTCACTCTGGTTTGTGCCTACGCCCCGACTTACGCAGCTAGTCGCACTGTGAAAGAAAAATTCTTTGACGATGTTCAAAGTGTATTGTACGACGTTCCACCATCTGATTGTTGTATCGTACTTGGCGATTTTAACGCACGGGTCGGTTCAGGCCAAAGGGGCGATGAGTGGTCCGATGTGCGAGGCACTCACAGGTATAACACCATGAATGCATCAGGAGCTGAGCTACTGTCATTTGCTGCTTTCAATCAACTGTGTATATGCAACACCTGGTACCCTAAACGGAACATTTTCAAACAGACCTGGCAGCACCCTGGCACGCTGCAGTGGCACTGCATAGATTTCATACTTGTGCGGCAAGACGACCGCCATCTATGTACCGACGTGGCCGTCATCCGGAGTGCTGAATGCGGCAGCGACCACCAACTGCTATATATGGCTCTGCAGCTTCCATCGCCAGTGTGGCGCGGGGCGCAGAGCAAGGATAGTGTCCGGCGCCGGTTTGACGTTGCACAGCTAAAGGACCGTCGCACGTCTTCCCCTGAAGATCCTACGCCTACCGATATCTACCAGGCAGTGATCAAGGAGGAAATCGACCGCAACTGGCTCGAGAATGCCAACATTAGTGAGAAATGGTCCTCTATCAAGTCCACCCTTGACACTGCTGCATCCACAGCCCTTGGATTTTCCAAACGGCGCCAGCCGGACTGGTTCCAGGAAGCCCTGCCAAACATCCAACACCTACTGGACACGCGGAATGCGGCCTACGAGGATTGGCTTCGCCGTGGCCAGCAGCGAGACACTCCGTTTCATCAGGAGTTTAAGGCAGCCCGCTCGAACGCACGCGCAGCAATCGATACGGCCAGAGTGGACTGGATCAAAGCTAAAGCTCAGGCGGCCACCGACGCCCGTTTCAATGGCGCTGTCGTGTGGAAATGTATCCATGACCTCCAGTCTGCTGGGCGCGGCCTTCAACCACTACAGACAGCAGCGATCGTTGACGAGAACGGAAACATATGCACGTCACCGCGTGAGCAGGGACAACGCTGGGGAAGGCACTTCTCTGGAGTGCTCAACGTCATGAGCACTTGGACACTGAACGCGCTGAATGGTATCCCTCAACTACCGCTTGCCGAAGACCTCGCTGAACCTCCCACGCTGCGCGAAGTGTGCCGCGCCGTTGCTCGCTTGAAGAATGGCAAGGCTGCTGGAGCCTCGGGCGTCTTGCCGGAGATGGTCAAGGCAGGGGGTGAGTCGCTGAACAACAAGCTTGTGGAGCTATTCGAAGATGTGTGGCGTGCCGGCCAAGTGCCGCAGGAGTGGGTAGACGCTACCCTGGTGCCAATTCCGAAGAAAGGGGACCTGACCCGATGCGACAACTGGCGTGGCATCGCGCCGCTCGATGTTGTCGGCAAGGTCCTGGCGAGTCTCATTCAGACAAGACTCCAGGGCCTGGCCAGCAGCTTCCTCCCGGAATCACAATGCGGCTTTCGGCGAGGTAGATCCTGCACGCAGTGCACGGACATGGTGTTCAGCGTACGTCAGCTGCTCGAGAAGACCATCGAGCATACAGCCAAGGGTTTCTTCGTCTTCATTGACCTGAAGAAGGCCTACGACTCCGTGCCCCGTGAGTGCCTCTGGCAGATGCTCTCCCGTGCTGGTGTCCCTCCCCCCCCCCCCCCATGCTTGCAGTAATCCGGTCTTTCCACCATGAGATGTCTGCAGTATTGCGCGTGAGTGGCACAGACGTGGATCCGTTTAGCGTCACCAACGGCTTGCGGCAAGGCTGCACTATGGCTCCTGTCCTCTTCAACATCTTCATGTGGGCAGTAGTCACCAAGTGGCAACAGAGGGTCAGAGGTATTCCTGGCGTTGGTTTCGAGTTCAGCTACCACTATGGTGAGGGTCAACTATATCGCAAGGCACGCCGGACTGACACCGCTGCCACCGCCCTAGAGGCACAGTTCGCGGACGATTCCTCCCTGTTTGCAACATCGCGTGCTGGTGCTGAGATTGCCTTGGACCTGTTCAACTCGACCGCTTCGGAGTTCGGCCTCACCGTGAGCGCGACCAAAACCAAGTTCTTGGTTGCGGGAGCTGGCGTCACGGCTGCGGACCAGGCGCCCATACAGCTTGCCGGTGTGGACATTGAGTGTGTGCCGGAGTTCAAGTACCTGGGGTGTATCATCCACTGTGGCGGCCGATCTTCGCAGGATATCAGCGCTCGGGTGGCAAGTGCGTCCCGGGCTTGTGGTGCTCTGCAGCAATCTGTTTTCAGGAACAAGAACTTAGATCTTCATATTAAACGCTGTGTGTTTAATGCTTGTGTCCTGTCTCTGCTCCTGTATGGGTCCGAGTGCTGGACGCCGCTGAAGCAGGACCTCCGTTGCATGTCTGTTTTCCACATGCGATGCGTGCGGTCGATATTGGGCATCACACGCCATCGTTGCTGGGATGACCACATATCCAACAGCCAGCTGCTTGAGTGGTGGGGTGACTCTGAAACCATCATCACCAAGGTTCAGCATCGGCGCCTCGAGTGGCTAGGCCATGTCGCCCGCATGGACGACGTGCGGTTGCCCAAACAGTTGCTGTTCGGCACCCTGCCATCTCGTCGCCCGGCACATGGCCCACGTCGGCGGTGGAAAGACTGCGCTGTAAAGGACCTCCGCTCACGAGACCTTGAAGCGGACTGGTACAGAGTTGCCTGTGACTCTCGCCCAGACTGGAGTTTGGCTTACACCTCGGACGCCCCGGATCCCCTCGTACCGGCACCGGTGACTTGTTTCACATGCGCCCGGCACTTCGCACGTCAGGGTGACCTCGCTAGGCACAAGTGCACGGCTGAACGGCAGAAGCCGGTTTCGGAGCAGAGAGGTGCATGTCAGTGCCCTCGGTGTCATCGTTGGTTCCGGAGCCGCGGAGGCTTGGCTGTGCATCGTTGCTCCGCTTCTACCTCGTGCCCAGTACCGACCAAACCAGCTGCTGTTGTCACCGGTGACACTACCGCTCGGAGGTGCTGCAATGCTCACTGTGGCACCTGCAATCGTTGTTTCCGCACAACCCAGGGACGCAACCGCCATCGCTATTCAACGCACTGCCACCATCCAACGGCCAGAGAACGGGACAAGTTCCCGCATATGTGTATCTGCTCTCGCCGGTTCCGACTAGTCTCGCATCTGGAGCGCCATCGGGTGGCGTGCTCTTTCTCTCTCTCTGCTGCCCCTCCGGGGCCCACGTGACCCTAGTGGTAGTGGCTCTACAGGACAGGACAGGACAGGTGTGTGTGTGTGTGTGTGTTTGTGTGTGTGTGTGTGGGGGGGGGGGGGGTGTGCGTGTGTGTGTGTGTGTGTATGTTTTCGTTCGTTATAGTGCAGCATAAGATCAACACGGCACACTCTGTCTTACCGGATTGAGGTCATTCTCCGGACGTGAAATGACAGAACCGCGCACTTCTAGCACCGACTCCAAGTTAAGTGAGCTCACAAGATCATGGTACGGGCCCTGCACATACACACGCACACACACGCACGTATATACATACACACACATACACACACTATTGCCTTCAGGAGCACAGTGACATAGATCATTCTTGTGTGAGGAGCATATATAGCTCCATCCTTCATACCACACTTTCAACTACAAGTTAATTTCAGCCATATGGTAATTCGCCTTAAAGGGGAAGTTAAGGCAAAAATTAAAATTTCACCAGTTGTAGTCTTCGGGGTGCTGAGTCGAATGGTCTTGGTCCGAGGAAGCTGAGACGCTCCCTTCCTACTTGAATCCCAATCGAACTCGCGCACTTCCACCGAAACTGGGTGACTGCGCCCTACTAGATGGGGATTTGTATGCAAAATGTCACTAAAAGCGCCGTTTCGTTCTTATAAAAGCACGGATGACCGCGATTGGCCCATATGTTGTAGTCTTTTGGACGCTGAGTCGACTGGTTTTGGTCCGAAAAGGCTGCGATGCAGCGTTCCTCCTTTATTCCCAATCGAACATGGTTGAACAAGCGGTCACGTGTCCTGGGTGCCCAAATCACCTGGTCACCACGCCAGCAGGTGACAACTTTCACACCAAGGTTCAACTCGAGTTCAACTCGAGTTCAACTCGAGTGACAGGACTGCACCCAAAAAAGGTCAAACAGGCTAGTAAGTTGTACCCTGGAGGCACGGTGACCAGGTGACTGGTGTACGCAGGAGCACGTGACCGCTTGTTCAACCATGTTCGATTGGGAATAAAGGAGGAACGCCGCATCGCAGCCTTTTCGGACCAAAACCAGTCGACTCAGCGTCCAAAAGACTACAACATATGGGCCAATCGCGGTCATCCGTGCTTTTATAAGAACGAAATGGCGCTTTTAGTGACATTTTGCATACAAATCCCCATCTAGTAGGGCGCAGTCACCCAGTTTCGGTGGAAGTGCGCGAGTTCGATTGGGATTCAAGTAGGAAGGGAGCGTCTCAGCTTCCTCGGACCACGACCATTCGACTCAGCAGCCCGAAGACTACAACTGGTGAAATTTTAATTTTTGCCTTAACTTCCCCTTTAACAACGGCCGTGCGACCGGGCCAGACAACATGGCAGGCGAACTTATCAAGTACGGGCCTGCCCCTCTTCACCATGCTCTAGCTCGGATATACAATGCCGCTATTTCCAACAATGAGCCACTCTGTATTGGCGACGGGACTCTTATCCCGCTACAAAAACCTGGCAAGGCCAGGGGGCCCCCATCAAACCTGCGACCAATAGTACTGTTGACGGTGTTGCGCAAGGTGTTGTCACTTGTGGCATTGTCCCGCGTAAGCAGAAAAATACATAAATACTTATCTCTCACCCAGAGCGGTTTCAGGCCTAACATAAGCACCTTGGACGTAATATGGTCCTACCGTTGGGCTATAGCCCGATGCCAACGCCTACAACAGAAGTATGACATTATCGGTATCGACATGTCGAAAGCATTCGATACCATCTCGCGTCCGAAACTGATCGATGTTCTTGCGCCGTTCCTTGACAACGATGACGTTACACTGATTTCATATCTTCCGCAGCACACCACCTTGCAGGTTCGATTGCCGGGAACGGATGGCATTAAGTTCAAAACCGACAGAGGCACCCCACAGGGGGACTCATTATCTCCCGTGCTGTTCATCGTGTATCTAGAAGCAGCCCTGCGGGACGTGCGAAATATCTTACCGATCCGGCCACAACTCGACATCGACCTGCACCTCCCAACTGACACATCATATGCTGATGATGTTGACTTTCTGTCATCTAGGGGAACTGACCTCCAATCATGCCTCCCTGTTATTGGGGACACCTTAAAGCAATGGGATTTGACAGTTAACTCCGCCAAGACAGAATTCACCCATATCGAGAGGTTCAGCGACTGCATTGCAGAAGAATGGAGGCTGACCCGGAAGCTGGGATCGCTACTGGGTGACAGGGAAGATGTATCTCGGCGTATGCAGCTGGCCACAGGTGCGTTTCAACGGCTTTGGGCACTGTGGGTGAGAGGCTCGCAGGTGAGAGAGAACAGACGTGTCAAGCTATACAATGCATTTATCACACCAATACTCCTGTACAATTGCTCAACATGGGGAGTCCCAAGCAATGTCATCAAGCGATTGGAAGCATTCCACAGACGTCAATTGAGAACAGTCGTCGGGATCAAGTACCCTCAAGTCATCAAAAATAGCGAGCTGTATAAACGCAACAACTCCCAGCCCCTTGGGGAAACCATTGTGAGAGCGAGGTGGCGGCTCTTTGGCCATGTCCTGAGACTAAACGACGATGTACCAGCACGCGTTATGATGGCAGCATACTTCGAAAACCCAAGTTCCGCTGCCACCTGGCGGGGCCGGCCACGTACCACTCTGCCACTGAGTCTGCACCAGGACCTGCAGCGTATCGGGGGGTCGCTCAAGAAACGCGAGGAACTTGAGAACCTCCATGCCATCTCCCAGTCACGACAAGACTGGAAAGACCTATGCAGCAATGTGATAAAAGCATACATCAAAGCCTAATACTGCTTCCACCTGTGGCAGCTACATGGCTGTACGGTGTACCATAACATAACTCATTGACTAACATATTTTGTGAAAATATTATCCTGTAAAAGAATAGGAATGTAAACAATATAGTGAATATACCTGTGAAAACACAACCTTTAATGCTACTAACACAACCTGTGACTACTTAGTACTAACACAACCTGTGACTACTTAGTACTAACACAACCTGTGACTACTTAGTACTAACACAACCTGTGACTACTTAGTACTAACACAACCTGTGACTACTTAGTACTAACACAACCTGTGACTACTTAGTACTAACACAACCTGTGACTACTTAGTACTAACACAACCTGTGACTACTTAGTACTAACACAACCTGTGACTACTTAGTACTAACACAACCTGTGACTACTTAGTACTAACACAACCTGTGACTACTTAGTACTAACACAACCTGTGACTACTTAGTACTAACACAACCTGTGACTACTTAGTACTAACACAACCTGTGACTACTTAGTACTAACACAACCTGTGACTACTTAGTACTAACACAACCTGTGACTACTTAGTACTAACACAACCTGTGACTACTTAGTACTAACACAACCTGTGACTACTTAGTACTAACACAACCTGTGACTACTTAGTACTAACACAACCTGTGACTACTTAGTACTAACACAACCTGTGACTACTTAGTACTAACACAACCTGTGACTACAATAATCATGAGATCAACCCCAAAACATTTCTTGCAGTTTACTTTCGTAGAGTTTGCAACTTTGTGTTCCTCAACATAACTTGTAGCTTTCTTCAAAAATATCCGCAACCTTGGTTCTGTCCTAGATCGTATATACATGCATTCATTGTTTCCAACTTGGAAGGTTCAAGGTTATGGAAAGACCAAAGAGGGGAAGGCAAGCGCAACGAAAACGAGCACAAGCTACAGTCCCAACGGAACAAAGAATGTCGATTGTCACTGGACGATGACGAGACCAGTAGGCGATTTGACAAAGCGGTCTAACTACAATTCGAAGCAGCAAAGCAGCACACCACCCAACTTGGGTGGGTCAAAAATATCAAAGATAAGTTAAGAAGGGGGAAGCTTTGCGAGAACGAATTGTACAAGCCGAAATCTAAACTCCTACAGTACTCCTCATGCATGACATTGTGATGGACTAGTTGACTACAAAACAAGTTGTTTCACACGACGTACGTTTCGCCGTATGGTTCGTGACGGCTCATCAGGTGTGCAATTTGAAACTCGGGTATTGAGCCAATAATAAAAGTAGAAAGGAAAAGGACATATGGAAACGAGTTAAGAGTAACTCTCCACCACTGTAACTAGATACTATATACAGTCAGAAACAACTTGTTTTGTAGTCAACTAGTCCATCACAATGTCATGCATGAGGAGTACTGTAGGAGATTAGATTTCGGCTTGTACAATTCGTTCTCGCAAAGCTTCCCCCTTCTTAACTTATCTTTGATATTTTTGACCCACCCAAGTTGGGTGGTGTGCTGCTTTGCTGCTTCGAATTGTAGTTAGACCGCTTTGTCAAATCGCCTACTGGTCTCGTCATCGTCCAGTGACAATCGACATTCTTTGTTCCGTTGGGACTGTAGCTTGTGCTCGTATTCATTGTTTCGTCTCATCATTATGGAGCAGCTTATGCGAAGGCTAGCCAAGCTTGCGAAGGCTAGCCAAGCTTGCTTGGCGATGCCAACGCGGAAAAGCCTATAATAAATAATAATAATAATAAGGCCAAACTAAAGAAGGTGTGTGGTTCGACTCACCCGACCGACCGTACATTTTTCACCCCGACCGTAACTTTTTTTCGGCGGGCTGGCGTGTGACTGACGTACGTGGACTGAACACGTCCACGTCTACGTGCTGTGCAGCGTGAGTCTGCGGACGCAGGCGCGGCGGCTCCTTTTGGACTTGACTTGTAGTTGTACTGCAGTGCAGTGCAGTGAGTGGTACGACTGCTGCCTTGTGCTGGTAGTAGTAGAGTCTATTCGATACGACCACCGGCAGACTGGCGAGACTTATTTTGAAGTGACCGTCCGGTTGAGAGTGATTGCCTCGTTCCAGATTAAGGACGGCCTTCTGTTTTGGGATGAAGGACAGACGAGATTGCACTTTCCTCGTGTATTGGGAACGATATTTCACCTGTACCGGTAAGTTAGTTGCTGCTCCATGTGTGCAAGCACAGGAAGCGTCGATGGAAAAAGCCCATGTATTCGTGCACGCCGACACCAAACTAGCAATACATGTACCGGTACATTGTACAATTTGTACTTCGAAGTAGTTCCCGAACTTACTTTCAACTCGCATCGTTCTTCATTTGCTTGATGATTTGGACAGTCAGAGTCACCGCTTGAAGTTATTCTCTTCTCGTTCCAGAGCTACACAATGTTTCAAAGTATTAGCCAGTGATCCCTTTATACAACATGTATGGCATAACACTGCGTAATAATGCCGATGTACTGGGTGTCTAAAGGCAGTACAGTGTATTTACATGTACTAAAAAATATATTTTAAAAAAAAAATCCGCCCGCCCGCCCGTAAAAAAATGTCCATGTTAGTCGAACCACACACCTTCTTTAGTTTGGCCTAATATGGTAATTTCAAAGTTTGGGCACTTGTCACGGCATGTGTATTTTGTTCAATACTCGGAGGCTCCACTGCACCCAATCAATCCTCTCTCCAGCACCTTCACAACCAAGGTGTTGATGGTGCAATTACAATTAAATTAGTCTCCAAATTTTCGCCCCTGGGGCTTCATCAGGGAGTATTACAAAACGCAATACTCCTTGATGAAGCCCCAAGGCCAAGGGCGAAACATTTGGAGACTACATTTCGTAATACTCCCTGATGGAGCCCCAAGGACGAAAATTTGGAGACTAATTTAGTTGCAATTACACCATCAACACCTTGATTGTGAAGGTGTTGGACAGATTTATTTATTTCACCTTCCCGTGGCCAAGGAATAGAGGCCAATATGGAGGGGGGGGGGGGGGGGGGCGATAGCCAGCCATGGCATGTGTATTTTGCACATGACTAAACACACCAGTGCCCCGACGTCAACAGCCAACTACATAAACATGTACATGTAGTCGTTCATTGCAATTGAATTTCTTGAACATGTCAATGTGCCACGCGGCCCGTTAACCCTGTAATACAGGAAAAATTAGTCGGCGTGTGATCGCACACTCTGTCAGCGATGCCAGCATCACCAACAGCACTGCTCCACTCACACGCACACACGCGCACGCACGCACACACACACACACACACACACACACACACACACAAACACAGCTCACTAGAGAATACAATAACACCGCTGCGGCAGTGCCAGAGCCGGAGCACCAGCAGTGGAGAGATAGGGACTGGCACTCGCACCGGCCGCAGATGACGGGGAGAATAAATAAACACTGAGAGAACCGACAGAGGTAGGTGAAGGAGGCTACACTGCAATGCACTGCACTGGCAAACTGTCAACATCGCAAGCAGAACTGGTGAATGATGTTAACAGAATACTTTGACGTAGTAACACCCTGTTGCTGGCATTGCCAGTAGACTAAGGTTTAGGTCTGAAAATAGAATCCCCAGCTATTATCTCATACTCATAGTCCAGAGAGCATTGCTGTGGAAGATCAAGATCAAGCTAAATGAACTCAACAATATGATTGTGAGGTCACGAGTAACACTACTCAGGGAGGATTCAGTTATGACAACAGCCAAGCTGAGTCATTGCCTGAGCTGAGTCATTGCCTGAGCTGAGTCAATAGATTGAGTCAACAGACTGAGCCAACAGACTGAGTCCATAGCTGAGCTAAGTCAATAGCTGAGCTGGGCCAATAGCTGAGCTGGGCCAATAGCTAGCCTAGGTCAATAAATAAGCTGGGTCAATACGGATAATAATGTACTGTCAGCTACTCGTAGTGCCGCACTGGCAACCACATCGCGAGTGCTGTCAATAGAGTTTGCTTGCTAAGCTGCACAATGATGTAAGATGATGCAGGGTGACCATTACCACTGCCAGGACATGCACACTCATGCCAGCACCAGTGATACCAGCATCAGTGCTGGGCCCATCCAGCCAGTGCAGAACATGACTGAACTAGTGACAGGCACAAAGCGTAAAGTAACCACTGCTAGCAGCTATACAGCTCTGTCCAAGAAGATCATCTCTGCAGCTAGCTGTGACTTGTCGGCCATGACATGCGTCGTGTCGGTCTGCTGTGATTTATGCTGATCAGACTCGGCGACATTGAACCAGAGTGCACTGTGCTGCTGTTTATCCTTGTCAAACAGCCACGGCTCCTGCAGTGAGCGCAGCTTGGCAACAAAGCGTGCTATGCCGACGACAGACACCACCGGGTTATGTCTACTTGTTGTGATCAGCATGTCTGGGTAGGATTGCTCAGAGAGATTGCTGTATGGACAGTACTGGGCGATTTTCCGCACAGCGTCCTCGTCCACTGGTCCGTCATCGCAGTCCTGCAGCTTGCGCTCAGGGCCAAACTGTGACTGGTCATTCTCCAAGTATGTCTGCAGCACGTCTACAAAGGGAGAGTGCAGGATGGCCGCTCTGAACAGTTCTGGTTCGCGTTGCGCCAGGCCAGCCACCAGAGTGGCACCGGCGCTAAAGCCGTACAGAGCCGTGTGTTCCGGCCTCGAGAACTCGGCCATGTGCAAATGATCTACGCAGGCTTTCAGGTCGCTGAACGCCTGCCCCTTGTCAGCACCGGCGCCGGCAAGATGCCAGCGACGGCCCAGGTCGCGGGAGCCACGCACGTGACAGAATGCGAGCGTCCAGCCTTCCATGAGCAAACGAAACCACTGGGGACAGTAGTTCATGTCAATGGGCTCGTCCTGATCACCATAGACAATCACCAGGAGGCGATAGAACATACAGCCATCGACGTGCACCAGCGTGATGGGAATATCTGCGCCATCGTCAGGAGACACGGCTGAGAGACGGCGGACGACGGACATCTTCTTCACCGGCTGCTCGTGGTAGATCTCGTACGCGTACACGGAAGTGCGGCACAGCTTCTGGCCGGTTGACGGAATGAGATAACTTAACACCGTGGGCATGCTGGGTCCAGACTGTACATAGCCGATGCGTACACTCTGCGCTGAAGGGTTGCACGCCAGCTGCATACTGGTACAGGCAAACTCCGGGTAGATGCGTTGCTCCATTGGATGATCCAGACAGCCGGGCAAGTCATGACCGAGCGGTACGATGTGCAGGTACGGCTGGGCGTTGCGTGCACGCATAGTCAACACGCAGTAATCACTGTGGAAGTCCATGTCCTTGATGAAGCACTCCTCCGCCTCCGACGAGTCAACAAACACTGACCACTTGCTGTGAGCTACAGTAGTGCCAGTGCGGTCTTCGGCAATACCACTGCTATTAGTAGTATTAGCTGAGGCACTACTAGCACCAGTAGAATGTGTACTATTGCCCATCGCACTGCTGCCCTTTCTCACAAGCGCATCGTTCTCAGACAAACAAAGAATCTTATCTTCTCCGCTTGCCTCCGTATTGGCCAGTGCGTAGAACGTGCCCTGGTAGTGGTCGACGTGTCGGCACTCTAGGCCAGCGCCGCGGGGCCACACACACGCACTCGCCGTGGGCTCTGCCAGTGTGCAGTCAACGACGTGTACTTCAGTACTGCGCTGCGACTGGCTGTGCACGGACACGTACCGACCCGAACGGCAAGCTTTCAGGCGAACGCTGTAGCGCGGGTTAGGCTCGCGATACACCAGTCTGGCAGTTAGGGCATCGTGAAGCGGCTGGAACTTGCTCCGATCATCCGGTACGCTCCACAGATCAACGCAGCGCACTTCGCCCTTGCATCTACCGTAGCGCCCCGGCACTGTGCACAGGAGATGAGAGGATCCGCACCACACTGCATCCACAACACCAGTCACGACGGAGATGACACGCTCTGCGCGACGCAGACCATCGGCTAGTGACAGCACTGCCGCTACACCGGAGAGACCGTGTGAGAACCGTCCGCTGACCAGTGCAAACTTCCCACACGGTGAGAACAGCAAGCTCTGCTTTATTCGCAGCTCGCTCAGCACAGGCAACTCAAGAAACTCGGCAAGGTCGTCGATGTGAAACAGCGGGAATCGCGTGTGCTGGATCAGTCCTGTTACGTGATCTCTGATTATGGCACGCTCAAACAACTGCCCGCGCTCCTGGAAAAAGTAGTAGTACTCGCCGAGTTCCCAGAGTATCGGATGCTGGTAATCCACGTACACAGGCTTTCCATCGAAGAAAGGACTCTCCAGATGTCGATTGTAAACAAACTCCCTTGCTAGCACGTCGATGCGTTTCGTACTGGCGAACTTCTTTTCTTTGTCAATGTATTCGCAAACAGTGGAGATATTCTCGTCGCGGAGCATCCAGGCGAACGGATCGTCAACACGAGCGGGCGTCTGGTTCTTCTCCTGAGCGTCTTCGGCCAAGACAAGAGCTGCTGGGATAGATGGTGCTGATTTCTTTGTCATTCCTAGCCATGACGACCTGGCACGAAGTTGGTGCGCGGGTTGTCCATTCACGGCGCGCAGTCTGAACAGAGATCGATGGTGGCAACGGCACAGTGGCAAAGCCAGCGCCGCCATGAGGCCAGCTCTGGCGAGCACACCAAGCAGCAGCCGCCTCCGCTTGCAATGGACACCAAACGAAGGACTCAGACTCAGAGAAACAATGTTTCTTCATACCCAACCTGGAAGATACCTTGAAAATGTATGCAATAGTGACTATTGCACTGCAGAGTACTAGTACTAGTAGAGTACGAGTATTTATGGGCGCTTTTCAAATTATTTTTCTTACTGGATAATCGCGTTTTCGTGTTTTTTTTATAGAACAAAACGCATAAATTATGCGCATGCATATTCGATAATCACGAGTTGAAAAAGCATAGTCATTTTGATGCGCGCATCGGACGAGAGAGTTGCCAGCTCAGGGCCCTCGCTATCCTTGTTCTTTGCCCAGGTCATCGTATTCGTTAAATCTATTATTTTTAAAGTATGTACTAGTACAGTCATACCTCGCATAACCACACACATCCGTTCTCCACAAAAATATCCCGGGATAGGCGAAGGAACCGGATAGTCGAACACACATACTGGATGTGTGTACGACATACGCTGTAAATCGGTAACCAACGATATTCTTCCGGATGGCGAGGGATCCGGATACAAGAGGACCGGATAAGCGAAGTCTGACTGTACTGTAAAGTACCGTTGATCCGTCCCCCACGCCATGTCGCTTCCCAGCTGGGTTTTCGGCAGGGGGCTTGAATTAGATCAAGGCTGTGAAGTGCAGTACGATGGACAACACTGTGGAGGATCAGACTCGATGTGCTGGATTGTGCACATTTTCATTCCTGGATTGGCACGTATTGTGTACAGCAGTGCATGCGTCGGTTCAACATCGTATTTCGTTGTATACGCCGAAGTCGCTTCACAGGTAGAAAATCGACAGGGGGGCGGGAATTAGAGAGGGGGCGGATTAACGGTACTTTACGGTAACTGATAAACATGTGACACACGAAGCCCACAGGCTGGTGATTAGTCACGTGGTGTGTGTGACAACCCGCCGGTGCCCAGCTGTGCTGCTGCTGCTACGCCACCTACAACTCCTGGTTGCTCACGTGATCAGCCTTGTGTATTTCGTGCTGACCCGTTGCGTGGTTCGTACTGTCCCCCGCGCGCGGGCGCACACACACAAACACATATACGAGTACGTACGAAATAAAGCGGTTAGGACCCGGTCTGCACCAGACACCACTACAGTGTCTGCTCTAGGATTTCAAACCAACCGGGTACACGTGTACCTGGCGCAACTCTTGCAACCGGGTCAGAGACGGGTACGCTGGGACGTGTTCAAGTGCCACTGCATGGACATCGGGGCGCCATAAATATTTTACGGCTCCCCGGTATATATGTATGAACAATGCCTAGTACTGGGCACTCTGTCCATGCACTCGCCGCACTTGCACGCACCTGCAGCCTGAAGCAGATAGCTTCTAATCAGGCAGGCCTGTGTTCGCATGTCACGGCATTGTAAAGACTGCACAACGATGTCGCGGCATTGTAAAGACTGCACAACGATGTCGCGGCATTGTAAAGACTGCACAACGATGTCGCGGCATTGTAAAGACTGCACAACGATGCCGCGGCATTGTAAAGACTGCACAACGATGTCGCGGCATTGTAAAGACTGCACAACGATGTCGCGGCATTGTAAAGACTGCACAAGATCACAATGTGATGACATTATGATATGACTCACCGCTGGTACTGCTATCTGAACCATGCCGTATATGTCGCGCAGGACAATAAACAGTGGGTCGCCATATTTCCTAGACGAGTAGAATCACATGCACGCACACGCGCACATGCGCACATTATTAGACTAAAAGCTCAAACGCACACGTGCACATTATTAGACTGAAAGCTCAAAATTCTCGTGTCATCTGCCAACACAATGCTGGCTGGGGTAACATGGTCCAAAGCCAAAAGATACACACATTCTTTTTAATAAATTAATCCTTGGCTCTCTATTCGAGTACATACTTGACAGTTATTCATAACTTATGAGTGAATGTGCAGGTGTGTGAAGCGTTGCGCATGGGGAGAAAAGCGAACCCCTTGAGCAGGTTTCACCGGACCTCTCAAGCAGGCTGGAATAGGTGCGGTATAAGCACTGCGTGTGTGAAAATGTGATATTGGCGCGCTGCAGGCTGCTCATAGTGGTATGATGATCGTTTGCTTGTTGTGCTGTCCATACTAAGCTGCTTGACACAGGAACCGGAGGGTCAGTAGACTCAGTACTACTCCACTTTCAGAAATTTTACGTGCTCAATATTGTCGGTACGAGGGCAAAAGGCCAGGTTAGGTGAACAGAAATCGTAGGTACACAGAAGCAGTTCCCTATTTGATTATGTGTGTTGGTGTTTGTTCGGTGTAATGAGGTTTTAGGTATGAAACAGACACACCGAAAGCACACCAAAAATTTGTGAAATAATTACAGTAGTCAAATGTAGTTGCTTAGCAACCAGTGTGCCATGAAGTGTACCTTGACCGTACTACTCTAGGTGATATCATGTCAGTTCTTACCAGAAATTTGGGGTTCGAGTTGTCAGGATTCCACCAGTAGAGTACATGATCCGTGTGCGCCAGGGTGGATCTTACATGCAATATCACGGTGCATGGTTTCAGTGTTCATGCAGTGACTTGCTTGGTTTTAGGTGCAGACTAGAAGCGGCATGGTGGTTAAAACACGCCTGCCCACACACTGCTCTCTGAGCTGCACAATTCTGGTAAAGAGCGCTTCTTCTCTCACCACCATCATCTGTTTGCGTATGGCGCCTGCAATTAGCAGACGCCTGGCTGGTGATGTATTCACATAGCTGGCTGGTACATCAGTTAGCGCCTGGCTCAGTCATAGGCGATAACACAGTGACGGCTTGGCTCGGATTGCGACCAACGTTTCGTCCCTCCAGGACTCATCAGGTAGTCCTGGACGCCTTCAGATGGCGCTTGACGTAGTAGGATGATGAATGGTTTACCAACATTTCGCCAGGTGTGCGTTTAACCATACCAACATTTCTCTTCTATGCATTGGTGCTGCATTGGGGAGTCTTCACATCATTTGGTGCAGTTTGATTCATCAATTCCTAAATGCAATTAGAATTTGCAAGGATTTTGTTCTACGGTAATAATTATTCTGGAACACTGACACACTGTGCTGGTGGTAAAGGACATGATTGTAGTACAGATTTACATGTAAATGTTCACACTGACTTTTGCTGCTTGGAGAAATTGCGAATAGCACAAGTTGAAGCATTACCTTTTAAACGTGATCCAGCCACACAGCGTTACTTCTTGGCCTACATGCTCAGCTCTCAATTCGCCACACGTATGTGTCCGATTTGAAAATGAATTCACATTTTTCTGGGGCACCTGACACGACTGGTTGATGCGAGATGAACAAAGCCTCCTGATGCCTACGACGCCAGAACAGGGTAGTATATGCCTGAACAATTGCCCTGCTTTGTAGCAGACTACCGCACTCCTAGCTGCACGGCTGGCAAACATTCTGTATAGTAAGGACCAGGGAGTCCCTGGCAAGGACGAGAACTAAACCAATATTCAAAGGGTTCAAAATATCCAAAGTCCTCAAGTCGTCTTCCTCCGCACTGTGCACAAGTCTCTGGCGTCCGATAACACAAAAAATGGACTACGGCCAAGTGTCTCCCTGAAAAACATTCTGCTGTTTTGTTTGATACACAAAACTGAACACATGCTCGTTTCGTGAAAATTAAAAACAAGCAAGACGATCGTAGATATACAAATGCACCAACTCGTAGATCTACATACACCGTATCTACCGTAGAGCTACACGCGTCCATGGCCTGGCCTGTTCATGTTGAAAAACTGCTCGTACTTGATTTTATTGAAGCTTTGAAGATTCCAGAGCACATTTGCTCCTGTCCGTACTGTAGTTCGCTTCTGACTCTGAAGTGAAGACAGTGCAGCTATCGAACAGGATGTTTGTGCCAGCATGTTCAGCAGCAGTGTGGTTGCTTGCCGTGTTGGCCCTCAGCACGTTCTCTGATTTGTCATCTGCATGCGGTGTACTGACACACATCGAAATTGGACATCGCGCTTCGTTCTTCTACGATGACAAACCCGACAGTAAAGTCAGCTACAAGGAGTTGATTGCAAAGCATCAGGATGCTTTCCAAGCTGGTAATCCTTATCCTGACGCCTTTTACCCGGGTATATGTTATGTTGGCGAGTACCAGAGTGTGTCCGAGGACTCCCATTGGACTCCCTTCATGGTGACCACCATTGATTACATCAGAGAGAAGTACCCACAGCCATGGAACGAAACAGCTGAGAAGCTTGTCGTCTTCCTGTTGGGATTCACGTCTCATCAGATAGCTGATGTTCTGTGGCACAACCTCGGTGTACAGGACGGGTTCCTGCAGGAAATGGCCAACACGAATTACCATGGCGACTTCAACAAGGCACACCCTGTGGGTGATGTGGGTGGTGATGTAGTGGGTGCGTATGAGTGGAACAAGACGTATGTTGAGAACACACAATGGTATGTACCGTCGGAAGATCTCTCCGAGATTTACAAGCGCTACTACGATGCGCGGACGCCGTTCAATGTCAGCAGCACTGTGATCGAGACCTGCACACACCTGCTCTTTCTAGCCCGGCTCGGCGAGAAGGGAGCGCTGAGAGAGCTGTTCCCGGAGTACGCCAAGAAGTCTCCGTTCCTGGTGGACGAGCTGAACGAGTATTTCATTGGTGGTGTAGACGACAATGCCGCCTGGACCACAATGCTGTGGCATGACGCAGTGACCATGCTGGAGAACGGTACCAAGGCATGTGCCCACTCTAAGAACCCAGTGAGTGTGAGTTGCACGGGCATACCGCCTCCTGTGTCTCAAGAAGGCAGCGAGAAAGACGTGCGCTCAGTTCCACCCACTTTCAAGAACATTGCCGATGAAGCGTTTGCCGACGTTGAGCGTGTTGGCCGTGGCATAGTCATAAAACCCTCGGCTGCCTACTTGAAGCACATGGAGGAGACCCGTCAGCAGGCGGCAAAGAGACAGGAGATGAGTCAGCAGGCGAATCCGGCTCAGCATGAACCAAACGCTGCGAAGCCGTCGTCACCAACTGCTGCCTACTATTCGGTGACTCCGTACGCTCGTCTTGGCGCGGCGTTCAGCCATGGCGACTTCAACAATGACACGTACATGGACCTTGCCATCGGTGCTCCAGGCTTCAGCTCTCCACACCTACCGTTAGCTGGACGAGTGTACATAGTGTTTGGAACGGACACGGGGCTGCCCAGCGTCACGGCCGATATCGACAGTGTAGCCAAGCTCACACTGCACGGCACTGTCAAGTTTGCCCGTTTTGGATCAGCCATTGCTTCGCTGGACTTTAACCTGGACGGCCTTACTGACATTGTGATTGGTGCGCCGAGTACGCAGACCGAGGGTACTCAGTATCGCGGCGCTGTGCACATCTTTCTCAACGCAGGCCACGGCGCCTTCCCCGACACTCCAAGTATCTCTATGGCCGGCAGCTCTTTCCACGAGAACTTTGGCTGGGCGCTGGCCGCTGGCGACATGAATGGTGACGGTAAAGCTGATCTGCTTGTGTCCTCGCCGTTCCTGTCGGCTACTGACACTCTGCGCGAATCTGGCAAGGTGCAGATCTACTTGTCGCGTGCCAACCCTAACGCTAGTGGTCTGGTGGCGGATAGCTGGCTGAACGGGCCTATTTGGAACGGCTGGTTTGGTCACTCCATCGTCACGGCAACCTCCAACAGCTACCGATCGTTGCTAGCTGTCGGCGCACCGAATGCAAACCAATGCATGCGTGTACCCGACTGTAGCAAGCAGTCAGCAGACGATAAACAGAGCTCTGGACACCTGGTGGTGTACTCTAGTGAATCGCTACAAGATCTCAAGGCGGCGTACGATATCATTGGCTGGGATGTGTTTGATAGGTGTGGCAGCGACACGGCCTTTGGCCGCTTCTTCCCGGGAGTTGATGTCATGGCCATTGCGTGTCCTACGGCTAATATCACTGCCCATGTTCTTGGTATACCCACGACTCTCCAGCAGGCTGGCCGTGTATTCCTGGTCAACGTCACCGATAAGTTCAGCACGGCGCCATTCGCAGTGCTGGAGGGTGATCGGGCGTTTGGCCGGTTTGGCGCCACGGTCTCCTTTGGTGATGTGACCGGTGACGGTCTGGATGAGCTGATCGTGACGCAGCCGCTGCGTATCAACGACTTCACCGAACACCTGTACGGCGGCGAACAGGGCACGGCGTACGCGTTTGAAGGCGGCAGCGCGTTTGAAAAGATGAAGTGGCCGTTCGTGACCAGCAACTGCGGAGGAGGAGTGACGCTGGAAGCGCCGTGTCCTGCCAAGGTTGCCGCCATGCAGATGGACGTGACGGAGGGAAACTCGCGCTTTGGCAGCAGCGCGCACTTGCTGCCCACTGCGAGTAAGAAAGCGACGCCAGTTATCGCTGCCGCGCACAGCTCCCTCCGCGCAAGAATGGCCGGAACAGTCTATCTCTTCTAGCAATGTAATCCACTGCTACCTTTACTGCTACTTCAAGTACACTGTTCAGCCAGCCATACGCTACAATTTAAGGTAGTAGGGAGTAGTAAATACCATTATGTTATTACTCCCTGCCAGGTGTGGAATGGTGTGTTCAGAATTGCACACCTATTAACACTGGTACAGTGCTGATAGCGCCAACAGGAGATGCTGCGCGAGAGGATGGTGTGTTACATGGGAACATGGCCATTGGCAATGCGTACTTAGAACATAGATACAGGTCATTCACCTCACCTGTCATAGCATGTTGCTTGTTTATCCTTTTCTTGTTTGTCTTGTTCTTGTTTATCCTTTTCTTGTTTGTCTTGTTCTTGTTTGTCCTTTTCTTGTTTGTCTTGTTCTTGTTTGTCTTGTTCTTGTTTGTCTTGTTCTTGTTTGTCTTGTTCTTGTCATAGCATACCCTGTGTTGAGTGCCTACTAGCAATACTTCCTTGAAGTATTTTAGAAGAATCTAGTGACGATAGTGCATAGTACTTCAAGTACATAGTACATAGTACATAGTGCATAGTGCATAGTACTTCAAGTACATAGTGCATAGTGCATAGTACTTCAAGTACGTGTGCAGGTAAACACTTCTTATCCTACACTGCTTGAAGACTGGCATTTCATTGACTATTCTTTTTACTGGACACTGTATTTATCAAGTCATTAGGTCCCCTTTAGGCTTTTTGTGTAGTTTTACTTGAGCATGATTGCGGGGCAGAGCGATCCCCAATGCTTTATGAACTTATTCCCAAGTAAGAGTATGGCATGCGCTTATGCCAGTATTATGAATCAGTGAATATTATTATCAATATTTTGACCTTCATAAATTCGGAACGACGCTTTTGACCTTTTCCACAACTATTCTGCTAAAACAGTGCAATACGTCTGCCGTGAATTGAGAACTCGTGTTACATCTTGTTTCTTAGTTTGGTCTATGCTGTGTGGCGTGTTCAGTCAGCCTCGAGTGCAACGCATGATGTCATCTATCCATGCAGGTCCAGAGAAATGGGAGACGTTACTACCACACTGTTGTGTTCATGGTTTACTGTTTTGTTTTCTTAATTCTAATTCTCTTCTCCCACTGTCTGAGGCATCCACCGACTTTAGATTGTGATTTATTTTCCTCTTTAATTGCTGGCAGCTGCGGTGTTTTGTTTCCGTTTTTATTCAAACTAAGTGTTCTGTTCAGATCATCTTCTGTTATGGTCATTATCTGGTGTAGCTGTCCTGCACGGTTTAGTGAGTATCATTATGCACTTGTGTCGTCCGCATTTTTTCGCCTGTTCGGACAGTGTGTTTTTAGCTTGTGCGCATTCTTTGGCTTGTGTTTTATCTGCGGTATCTGTCTTGCACGGTTTATATATTAATATAGGGTCTAAGTGGGCGTACATGTGTGTCGTCCGGAATTATTTTCGCCTGTTATTCGGACAGTGTGAACCGTTTCAGCTTGTGCGCGTTCTTGGGCTTGTGGTTTGGTCATGGAAAAGTTTGTAAAAAGTTTTGGAAAAGTTATTGAATTTGGTGGTGGTTTTCCTGTGCGAACCCTGGATTGAGACACTGTACTTCTTTTCAAGTATCAATCAACCCTGGTTGTCATACAGCCGCGTGATTGACAAGAGCGGTACAATACGATACAAAATCATGATGCACACAAAGCACATCAGTTTCTTTGCTGCCGATTGCATTAAATTTTGCAACTTGACCATGCAGTCATACAAGTGGGCTCCGGAGGTAAATACGTGTATTTTATCATCTCGCATTGTCGTGGGTATGAATACACTCATGCCTCGTTTGTTCGGGACCGGCCACTGCCCGTATCTTTGACATGTCCGCAACTCCGAATCACATACAGTTTGATGGGGAAAGGCCATAGATGGCATATGGCGTCACTATTTCCACAAAAAGTGACAAAAGACTCTTTTTTTAAAGAGTCGTAATGTTACCACTGAAACTCGCCCAAAGGGTGCCCGGTAGACCGAAGTGCCTGTAACTTTGGGTCCGGATAACTGAGGTATGAGTGTGCACCAAGAGTACATACCCCCCCCCCCCGGGGCAGGGGGTTACTGTATGTACTGTTGGAGTGCACGCATAGTTGACTTTGTACTGTGAAGATCCTTACTACAGTCAGACCTCGCATAACCGCACACATCCGTTTTCCAGAAAAAAATATCCGGATAGGCGAGGGAACCGGATAATCGAACACACATACTGTATAATGATGTGCATGGCATACTTATGCTGTAAATCCGTAACCAACAATTTTCTACCGGATAAACGAGGTCTGACTGTATCAGGTTGCATGTCTTCGCATACAGAAAAAATTCACCAGATTCGGACGTCCGGGCGTCACGTCCCTAACCCGGGCACATCCATGTACCGGGCGCCTCTCTGGCCCATCTAGAGTGACAAAACTGGCTTTTCAACGGAAAAAAAACAGCCCCAAAACAGTCATATTGCTTGGCATAAAATCTTTATTCCCGTAGCTATGCAAAAGATGTTACGTAACGTCGTAAGTAACGTTTGGCTGGCGCTAGCCAGGGCCCACAAAGCTGTACTAGTAATAATTTGCATGCAGTAAGTACACAGAGTGTACCTCTTGCATGCAGTAAGTACACAGAGTGTACCTCTTGCATGCAGTAAGTACACAGAGTGTACCTCTTGCATGCAGTAAGTACACAGAGTGTACCTCTTGCATGCAGTAAGTACACAGAGGGTGTGCAGTAAGTACACAGAGGGTGTGCAGTAAGTACACAGAGGGTGTGCAGTAAGTACACAGAGGGTGTGCAGTAAGTACACAGAGGGTGTGCAGTAAGTACACAGAGGGTGTGCAGTAAGTACACAGAGGGTGTGCAGTAAGTACACAGAGGGTGTGCAGTAAGTACACAGAGGGTGTGCAGTAAGTACACAGAGGGTGTGCAGTAAGTACACAGAGGGTGTGCAGTAAGTACACAGAGGGTGTGCAGTAAGTACACAGAGGGTGTGCAGTAAGTACACAGAGGGTGTGCAGTAAGTACACAGAGGGTGTGCAGTAAGTACACAGAGGGTGTGCAGTAAGTACACAGAGGGTGTGCAGTAAGTACACAGAGGGTGTGCAGTAAGTACACAGAGGGTGTGCAGTAAGTACACAGAGGGTGTGCAGTAAGTACACAGAGGGTGTGCAGTAAGTACACAGAGGGTGTGCAGTAAGTACACAGAGGGTGTGCAGTAAGTACACAGAGGGTGTGCAGTAAGTACACAGAGGGTGTGCAGTAAGTACACAGAGGGTGTGCAGTAAGTACACAGAGGGTGTGCAGTAAGTACACAGAGGGTGTGCAGTAAGTACACAGAGGGTGTGCAGTAAGTACACAGAGGGTGTGCAGTAAGTACACAGAGGGTGTGCAGTAAGTACACAGAGGGTGTGCAGTAAGTACACAGAGGGTGTGCAGTAAGTACACAGAGGGTGTGCAGTAAGTACACAGAGGGTGTGCAGTAAGTACACAGAGGGTGTGCAGTAAGTACACAGAGGGTGTGCAGTAAGTACACAGAGGGTGTGCAGTAAGTACACAGAGGGTGTGCAGTAAGTACACAGAGGGTGTGCAGTAAGTACACAGAGGGTGTGCAGTAAGTACACAGAGGGTGTGCAGTAAGTACACAGAGGGTGTGCAGTAAGTACACAGAGGGTGTGCAGTAAGTACACAGAGGGTGTGCAGTAAGTACACAGAGGGTGTGCAGTAAGTACACAGAGGGTGTGCAGTAAGTACACAGAGGGTGTGCAGTAAGTACACAGAGGGTGTGCAGTAAGTACACAGAGGGTGTGCAGTAAGTACACAGAGGGTGTGCAGTAAGTACACAGAGGGTGTGCAGTAAGTACACAGAGGGTGTGCAGTAAGTACACAGAGGGTGTGCAGTAAGTACACAGAGGGTGTGCAGTAAGTACACAGAGGGTGTGCAGTAAGTACACAGAGGGTGTGCAGTAAGTACACAGAGGGTGTGCAGTAAGTACACAGAGGGTGTGCAGTAAGTACACAGAGGGTGTGCAGTAAGTACACAGAGGGTGTGCAGTAAGTACACAGAGGGTGTGCAGTAAGTACACAGAGGGTGTGCAGTAAGTACACAGAGGGTGTGCAGTAAGTACACAGAGGGTGTGCAGTAAGTACACAGAGGGTGTGCAGTAAGTACACAGAGGGTGTGCAGTAAGTACACAGAGGGTGTGCAGTAAGTACACAGAGGGTGTGCAGTAAGTACACAGAGGGTGTGCAGTAAGTACACAGAGGGTGTGCAGTAAGTACACAGAGGGTGTGCAGTAAGTACACAGAGGGTGTGCAGTAAGTACACAGAGGGTGTGCAGTAAGTACACAGAGGGTGTGCAGTAAGTACACAGAGGGTGTGCAGTAAGTACACAGAGGGTGTGCAGTAAGTACACAGAGGGTGTGCAGTAAGTACACAGAGGGTGTGCAGTAAGTACACAGAGGGTGTGCAGTAAGTACACAGAGGGTGTGCAGTAAGTACACAGAGGGTGTGCAGTAAGTACACAGAGGGTGTGCAGTAAGTACACAGAGGGTGTGCAGTAAGTACACAGAGGGTGTGCAGTAAGTACACAGAGGGTGTGCAGTAAGTACACAGAGGGTGTGCAGTAAGTACACAGAGGGTGTGCAGTAAGTACACAGAGGGTGTGCAGTAAGTACACAGAGGGTGTGCAGTAAGTACACAGAGGGTGTGCAGTAAATATGACTGTAAGTTGTGAGTTACGGGCAATTCCCAGTTTACGGGCAGTGCTCGGTCCCAACCTGCCCGGATCTGGGGAGTTGTACTGTACTAAGAGTACATAGCCCCCCAGTTTTGATCCTAGAGTACCCGCGACTCCCCGGGTTCCCCTCAGATGTGTATGGTATTATGAAGCAAAGATCCGATTCCGCTCGACCAAGACCCTATGCAGAGCTGGATCAGGCGTTGCACACTCTGGGCCATGGTGGGGTTATGTACTCTTGCTATTACTAGTACTAGTATTACTCGGTGAGCTGTACCAAAACAGATTATCTAGACAGTGCTGCATGTATGCCTGTCGGCCGACTCAGCTGTCGGATACTGCGCACGGACCTTCTAGCTGCTGCTGTGTGCAGAACACAATGGTTTCAGAACACACAGCACACCGACACGACAACACGTTCAGCTCCGAGCAGAGCAAATGCAACAACGCCGGCACAGCCAGCAGAAAAGATGCTTCTTGAAGAAGAATTCAAAAAAATATACAGGAAAGAAAAAGAAAGGAGAGAGAAAGCAGTAGCAGCAAAATCCACAGCACGCACAGCACACAGACGTTCGCATAATGTACTATGGAATCTTGGAGTAACAACAGAAATAACTACTAGTATACTATGTTGGCAATGTCGACCTGTAAACAAACAAACACCAGCTTAATCTAAACGGATAGCTAACAAACAAAATCTGGAACAAACGAACAACCTAGCGTAGATAAAAAATAAAACCCAGCGTAGACACAAACGAAATCTGTAAAACAACAAATGTAGCACCAGCTAGTAAAACAATAGACAAAATCCAGTGTGAAGGCAAAACCTTGTTTGAAACAGGCAAAAGCCAGTTTGAAATGGGCAAAACCCAGTTTGAAAACAGACAAACCCACTGCAAAAACAGATAAAATCCAGCGTGAAATAAGACATTTACAAGGCCAGCCAGGATGAAGCAAACAATATACAAGCAGAATAGGGAGGTTGTGACACAGCTCAAACGTAACCAGTCTTCGACAAAGTTAGGCAGTACAGGGCGAGGTGAGGGCACACCTGCAACACTATGTACATATAGTGCAAACAATAGGCATACACACTTTTGAAGTATGTGTGCATGCGGGGGATGCAAGATCCATCCGATTGTCTCAAAGGCTTTTAGGCACGCAACCAGCATCCTCAGTGGGAACTGATGGCACGCACGCCAAACTAGAATACGAATATAGAAACTTGGAAACTCGTTCCAAGCATACCTAAGGTCATGGCCAGGGATAACTGGACACGGAGAAAACCTCTCGAGTTCAGTTTGAAGACGTTTGTTGCTGAGCTTGTCAAACCTCTATCCGTAAGCACGCCGTCTTGCAGCCATAGACACGTGGGCGGTTGAGGATTCGCTCAAGACAAAACTCTTCCTCCCGGGTAGTGCCATCAGGCAGCACTGTACGGAGTGCGCAGTTGAACTGTTGAAATCGTGGATGACACCTGACTAAGCATGCCTCGCAGCAGGCGAATCAGATGCAGCAGTAAACTGTCCTTGACATGTTAAACACATGCACTGACTAGGCTCGATGAAGGCCTGGCGAAGTGCATGCCTACTGCCTTGTCTTCAAAGTTTCTTTCTGTCCCAACGCCATACGCTGCCGTCGTCGCAGACACAAACCAGAACACTGCATACACACACGCACGCACATGCACACGCATACACGTGTGCACACACACACACACACACACACACACGCACACACACGCACGCACACACACGCGCACACACACACACACATACATGTACATAGACACAAAATGACAAAATTAATGGCTTGGAGACATGCAGACACGACAGATCGGCAAATGCACATGAAGCAGAGTGAAAATTATTACCCCGGTAATATACAAACACAACTTTGCAGCGGCAGGGGAAGGAGACATTGGATTTAAGGCCATCGCTGATCTGATGTCTCTACGAAGGCAAACAGTTAGACAGACTGATAGATGACAGTTTGCCTACCTACTACTGTTGTCCGAGATGATAGAGAGACAGATGGCAGACAAACAGAAACAGAGAAAGCCAGACATACAGAGAGACAGACAAACGGACAAACAAACGGACAGACAAACAAACGGACAGACAAAAAGAGACAAACAGACATACGTGCGGAGTGAGCACATGTACATACCTGCCATCTTGACTAAACGCTGTTTGGCGTACGGCTGTGGTGCACTTAGGATGGCTCAAGACAGCTGGTCTGTAGCAACAACAACAGCAACAGCAACAGCAGCAGCAACAGCAGCAGCAACAACAACACAGATATTAGTAGCAGCAAGCAGCCCACAAAAAAGAAAGAAAGAAAAAAGCAAGCAGCACAGCAAAGTCAGAAGTCAGTAGCCAGTAATCTACTGGAAGTAGGCAACATTTTACCTATGGTTAAACACATAATTGTAGCCTACTTTCTTTCAGCCCAAGTAGCATGAGGAGATATTGTAAAAGATACAGTGATTGACTGATTGTACATGCATGCATGGTGCTCCAAACGCTACATTCCACTAAAAGTTGCTAAAGCCACTTCAATCAGAGTAGGAGTAACTTAAGTATGAGCCACCTTAAGGACAGCCTTGGCAAGCGAAATCCAACCGCAAGTTTCCCACGGTTCAGTGCGTGCACAGATTTATGTGTGTATGTATGCTTTCCACCGTGCATGCTCTGTGTGTGTGCATGCGTGTGTGTGTATGTGTGTGTGTATATGCCAGCTAGATCGGCTGGTTGACCCATTTTTTGCCAGATACTAGTAGTCGTTTGAGTGTGTTGCCATCAGGCTCGACGACAGGAAAGTGTACTTGAAGAGTTTAGATACAAACACGAGTGTATCTAAATTCATAGTTAGCAACCATTTTTGAAACGGTTCTATAAATTTGATAATACTCATAAAAAGGACACACTTCAGGCTCATTACAAACATCTTGAAAGTTTTTGTCTTCACAAGTATACTTTCAAGCCTTCTCATCAGGTGAAATACAGGCAAGGGAAAAGGAACAGGAACAGTGGATTAAATACAGTAAGAAGGTGGTAAAACAGCGCAAAAAGAAAGAAAGAAAGAAAGAAGATAGCTAAAGTAAACAGCGAAGTCCAATTACCATAATGTTCATATTCGCTTCATCTACTCCACGGTGCGTGCGTTCACGGTGAGGAAGGACGTCCTACCTACAGGCCAATTATCCAAGTTGATTTATCACTTCGAGTGTCGGCAATGTGAGAGCCGATATGTAGGTAGGACTCTTCAACATCTGGACGCACGCATCCGACAACACGCACCGCTACACCTTATTCCACAACACGCACGATCCACTCGACCACGGAGGGGACGTCCAGCAAAGAATCATCCTGGTACAGGATGGTCCAACGCAGCGGCATCAACACCAAGGAACGTCACCTCACAATTAACTAGACCACCAGAAAAACAACCGGACAAGACACCTACGTGCGTGGCAGTGACAGGAACCGCATCAACCAGAAGAATAACAAGATCGGCAACGGCGGCGATGGCAGCGACTAAAGCACAGACAGAGGCAACGGCTAGGGTCCACTCGACTAGCCATGTGAAATCGGATGTGTCCACCGCACATGCTGATTGTTCTGATGTTAGTTCTGATAAGTATGAGTCGTCCATTGCTAGTCATTTGTTTGAGCATCCTGATTGTCGTGCTGTGTATTCGGATGATTGTTTTTCGATTGTGTCACGTGTACGCAGTGCTAGATTGCTGAATGTTTTGGAAGCTGTATACATCCACACAAGGAAACCCAACCTTTGCAAGCAGAAACAAATCAAATTCACACTTAGGCTGTTAGGTAGGTCGTCAAAACCTCGTTAGTTACATGTATGTCCAGTGGTTGTCTCTTGTTGTCGCACTACATGTCGCGCTTATTGAGTTTTCTCGCATTTGCACCTTTGTGTCATTATTGCAATTTTCGCTGTTTACTTTAGCTATCTTCTTTCTTTCTTTCTTTCTTTTTGCGCTGTTTTACCACCTTCTTACTGTATTTAATCCACTGTTCCTGTTCCTTTTCCCTTGCCTGTATTTCACCTGATGAGAAGGCTTGAAAGTATACTTGTGAAGACAAAAACTTTCAAGATGTTTGTAATGAGCCTGAAGTGTGTCCTTTTTATGAGTATTATCGCATTTTTGTCTCAGAGGAAACTGTTCTATAAATTGTAGCCAGATTTTTAACGTAAATTTTTGCTACAAGGTGCCTCTGGACCAATTGATTACACTGAGCTCAGCATCTCAATTTCTCACTTTCTATTCGAAGTATAAACACCCTGTTGACCTATGAGCTACTTCCTGTGTAGTCACTGGTGCTAGAACAGCCTAGATCAGATCCACTCTAATTTAGCCACCCACAATAGTAGTTAGCATTCCCTTCACTCGGGGGCAGGGGTAAATACAGTTGGATCCAAGGATGGACACCTTGATGCCGTCAATCCTTTTTCTGAACCTAGTCCTCGCCCGCTTGCTGTGGTGTGGTGGGCCCGCAAGTGGGATCATTTCCAAGTCCACCCATAGTTTGGGGATTTCAGGTGTCCGGCATTGAATAGGCGGTTCAATAACCAATCGAGTCATCTTTCCAAGATTCCGTTTGAATCGCTCTCCCCTCTCCCGGGGAGACCCACGTGACCA